AATAAAATAAATAAATAAATAAATAAATAAATAAATAAATAAATAAATAAATAAATAAAGGAAAAGTGAATTAGCTATTACATTAGAAATGCTTTTTTGAATGCATATCTATATTAGGTGGGGTTGGAGTTCATTTATTACTTCAGATTATTATGTGTCTCCAAACATTGTAACATAGTGACTCTGAGAGCGAAGTCCTGTAACAATAGCTCATAATACAGTTTTCAGTTCTGAGTTACTGTAGCTATGTACAGTACTGTTAAATGGTACATAGGTTTGGAAGTTTTAGTAGGTGGCCAATAGATGGCACTGATTCAAAGAATTTTCAGTTACATTTATTGCAGGGGGAAAGGGCATAGTAAATAGATGCATAGCTTTGGTAATCTTTTTGTTCATTAAAAGCATTAGGGAAATTGAACTGGTCATGTAGAATCTTATTCCAAATCAGATTTTCAGGGAATGTCTCTTGGCCCTGATTAATCATAGAAAAATGGAATTGAAAGGAGCCTATAAGGCCATTGAATCCAAAATCTGCTCAATACAGGGACCAAATTAAAGTATATCTGACAGATGGTTGTCTAATTTTCTCTTGAATGCCTCCAGTGCTGGAATACTTCTCCCAAAGTAACTGGTTCAGTTGTCATATTGCCCTAACAATTAGGAGGTTTTTCCTGAAATTCAACTAAAATCTGTCTTCCTGAAACTTGAACCCATTATTACTTGTCCTGAATTCTGGAATGACCAAGAAAAGATCCCCTTCCTCCTTTGCTTGACAATTTTTCAAGTATTTAAAGAGTACTATCATGTCTCCCCTCAGACTTTTATCAAGGCGAAACATGCCCAGTTTTCTCATAGAGCTTCATTTCCAGTCCCCTGATCATCCTTGTTGTCCTTCCTCTGGCCTTGCTCCAGTTTGTTGGTATCCTTCTTAAAGTATGGTGTGCAAAACTGGACACAGTATTCAAGATGAGGCCTTGCTCTGCTACTGAATAGAGGGAAAATATACTTCATGGGATTTGGGGACTATATTCTATTAATAGAGCCTAAAATAGTATTTGCCTTTCATGCAGCAGCATCACACTGTTGGCCGATAATTCAGTTGGTGATCCACAACAATTCCAAGATCCTTTTCGCTTGTAGTATTACTGAGCCCTGTATCCCCCATCTTGTAATTATGTGGTTAGTTTTTTCCCCCATAGATGTAGAACCTTGCACCATCCCAGTTAGATTTCACTCTGTTGTTTTCAGCCCAGTGCTCGACCCTATCAAAATTTTGTTGAATTTTCTTTGTCTTCCAAAGTATTAGCTATCCCACCCAATTTTGTGTCATTCGCAAATTTGATAAACATTCCCTGTACGTACCTCCTCATCCAAGTCATTAACACAAATGTTGATGATCGCTAGGCATGGGACTGAGCCTCTAGTACCCCTTTGTTACCTCCTATCAGTTTGAGAAGGAGCCAGTAATAAACACTCTGTGTATGATTCTATAACCAACTTCGTATCCATCTGACCATTGTTCTATCTAACCAAGGAGCCAGTAATAAACACTCTGTGTATGGTTCTATAACCAACTTCATATCCATCTGACCATTGTTCTGTCTAACCTAGTTAGCTTGAGAGTTTCTCTTGAATCTTCAGTAATAAAGTTTTTAAAAAGTGGCATCTTTATATGCCACCCTATTAGCTTCTGGAATCATTTGCTCTTCTTGTATAGTTCTTCTATATTCTAGGCAATAACAGATCAGTGTGAGAAGAAGCAATAGGATACTGCTCTGGTACTGCAGTAACATATGAATTGTTAATATTTGCATTTAATTATTTTATTTCTAAAACCATAAAGTTCCATAGATCTTTGTTGTTTCCTGCAGCAGGATTCCCTGTTCTGAGGTTTTCTGTTTAATCAAGTTCAGCAGGGTTGTTGTTGTTGTTTTTTAGCGTTATTGCTCTGGCATTCATTCTGATACATGAAGAATTATGAATGTGGAAAGGCGTGTCAGCACAATAAATGGAGTGGCTCTGTATGCTCTTCTGAAATGCTCACAAATAGTCTTTAGAGAAGTGTTTCCTTCGTGAGTTTTGAGTCACTTCTGCAGATGATGGATTGAATACAGTGTCTTTCCACTCTCCTGCTGTGATGTGCAGTGCATGTTGTCAGAGTATGTTCCATGCTGGTTGTCCACAAATTCTATAGTTGGTGGTATAGAAGAGCCATATGATGAACTTCATTACATATTGGAACAGCCGTGCGTAACGAGATGGCCTTTGATCTCCAGAATATGTGTCAACAAGCACAGAAGCTAACTGGCTGTTAGTGCTCTTTCAATTAAAGCATGAGCGGATGCATCCCATCAAATATACTAGGGAGTAACATTTTGGCCTGGTAAAAGAATAAAAATGTAAATTAATACAAAATTGCAATTTTGAAAAAAAAATATTGTGTGGTTGGTGTTTTTTCTTAATAGTATCAAGGATGAAGAAGAACAGATGTGCCCCATTTGCTTGCTAGGAATGTTGGATGAAGAAAGCTTGACGGTCTGTGAAGATGGCTGCAGAAATAAACTTCACCACCACTGCATGTCAATATGTATGTCACTGATATTAAATACTGTACATATGTCAAGTTGCTTCATAGAAGTAGATATTTTAATACTTTAAATAATGAGTAGTTGCAAGTCAGGTTCTTTCCACAGGATTAATGTCAGTCATAAGTGACAGAATCTTTGCTGTGTATTAATGAAAGAAGTTCTTTTTCCATGAGAAAAAAGTGCTTATTCATAAACTGCTGTCTTAGAATCCATCTGAATGAAGTAAACTTTCTAATTGGAATGTGAAAAAATATACTTTATGACCTTCACATAGAGTGTGTGAAGGATGATAAAATACTGCAATACATCTGTGTGTATTGCTTTTTCAAAGAAAGTATGCAGTAAGTGGAAGGGAATTAAACAAAGTTATGAACAAGGTTCTCTCTAAACTGGGCATATGTGCACCTCCCCCTCCCTCTGTGCAGCTCTCTTACTCCTCCGCGCTGTGTTTGCATTTGGTTCCGGTTTTAATGGAGGGGGGGCAGAGGTGTGCACGCATGTATGGGTGAAGTAGCGCACAAGAGAGGTGGAGCTGAAAATTAGAGGGTATGTTGGTTATGAATATTTTTAGCGTGTTCCTTTTGGGGGGTTTGGGCAGGTTCAGAAATCTGAATACAGTATTGTGAAATCAACTGAGAATACTTAATATTGCAAAATATGAGGTCTAGCTCTGACCAGTCATGAGCTTCTTGTCTTGAACATAGATTTGTGGACATTTATAATAGATGGACATAAAATATGTCTTTAATCAGGCAGTTTATAAAGCTGTGCAGAAGACTACCGTCTGTAGAAAAGAATGGGCAAGTGGTACTGTTTCAAGCTGCAACATTTTCTAAAGAATTTATGTTTCTTTAAAAAAAAAAGAAGCAGCAGCAGCAAACATGGGATTAGGTTTCCTTATATTTAGTTTTCCATGTTCTTACAACTTCACACATAAAATTGAATAGTTTTACCTTTTTAAAGATTTATTTGTGTTACTTACTGAAGTATATATATTTTTCTTTTGTTGCATTGGTGCAATTTTAGGGGCTGAGGAATGCAGAAGAAACAGGGAACCCCTTATATGTCCCCTTTGTAGATCTAAGTGGAGATCTCATGATTTCTATAAGTAAGTTCTAATCTTGCAAGTAAATTTTAATTTTGTGTAAGTTCTCCACTGTAGTGCTTGCATTAATTGGTATATAAATTGAATAAATGAATAGTGATTTATTTTAATTGACTGCATTAATTCTTCCATTTATTGGCACAATAATAAATATCAATTTTTAAAACACCTGTGTGTGTGCTGAGAATGTGAATCAGTCTATCTCCAGTCTATATGTATTTTATATACAGTGTTGCCTCGCATAGCGATGTTAATCCGTGCAGCAAAAATCGCTGCTAAGCGATTTTGTCGTTATGCGATTTTTAAAAGCCCATAGAAACATATTAAAACCTGTTTAATGCGTTCCTATGGGCAAAAAACTGACCTTAAAGCGAAGATCCTCCATACGGCGGCCATTTTCGGTGCCTCTAAAGCGAGGAATCGGCGCGAAAACACAGCGAGTGGCCATTTTTTTAACCCGGCGGCAATTTTGGAACTGCCGATCAGCTGTTAAAAATCATCGCTTTGCGATGATCAGTAAGCAAAATGGAACAGACCATCGCAAAGCAAAAATACTCCATAGGAAACATCGCAATGCGATCGCTTTTGCAATCGCAAAAAGTTTGTCGCTATGCAGTTTCGTCACTAAACGGAGCGCCCGTTAAGCGAGGCACCACTGTATACCCATTCATGTATCCATTCTGTCCATTATCTACAGTTTTGTTGGATGTTTAATTCCTAAAAACTTGCATTAATGTGAAAGTATTTTTATAACCATTTTATCCTATCATGCTAATTTTTATATCAGTTTTGTTTGAAATACACAACTCTGTACGTTTTTAAGCCAAGAACTGTACTGTATAATTCCGATAACTGCAAAATACTGAAGGATAATTCTTCTGATGCACATTTGAGAAGTGCAGATTGGTTATTTTGCTTAAAAATGGATACCAGTCAAAATGTCGATATTTCTAATGTGAATTTATATCTACGCATGAACTTCTTTTTTGTTTGCTTATAGTCATGAATCACCAAGTCCTGTGGAGTCTCCTTCTGTACTACGTGTGGTCCAGCAACAAACTCAGCAGCCTACAGTGGGCTCACCAAGAAGAAATCAAGATAGTAATTTTAACCTTACTCATTATGGAGTTCAGCAAATCCCTTCTGCCTATAAGGACTTATCTGAGCCATGGATTCAGGTATATTGTATTTCTGAGGACACTTCAATGAAACTAGTTGATCTGTATTGTTGAGTTAAAACGGTTGTTCTGTTCTACTTCATATAGTGCATGCAGATTTACACTGTTGCTAAGGTGTATACCAGCTGTTCCTAAATAAACATGTACATGTGTATTTGGCTTCCTTTTGGTGCTTTTACGGTAGATAGTTATTTCTATGGCCGTGCTTTGCAAGACATTTTTTTTCCAAGACCGATCCTTTGCAAGATGGATAAATTTCATTTGTCTTGTTCCCATAGGGAACCTCGCAAGACAGCGATTTTCACGGAACGAATTAAAATCATCTTGCGAGGCACCACTGTATTTAGTTGGCAACTTAAAAAAAATGTATTTGCCAAAGCTTTTTGCAATATATGAATTGCTTTTTCACTTCCTGGATTTGCCTTCTGCTTGTTTTTATTATGGGTTGTGTTTCACCATTGTCAAGCACTTTGGAACCATATACTGTACTTGGTAGAAAATTTACATATAGATTTCTCCCAAGCATATGATATGGGCAGGCTATGGAAAATCCTTACAACTAGATGTTTGAAGCACACTTTCCTAAGTTGCACCACTTCACAGTACAAATAGGCTATTATATATTTTAGTTACAATATTTGAGCTCATCAGATATATATCTACAGTTGGCTTTAATGTTGTGAGGTCTGTATTTCAGGTATTTGGGATGGAATTAGTTGGCTGCTTGTTTTCTCGGAACTGGAATATACGTGAGATGGCCCTTAGACGTCTTTCCCATGATGTTAGTGGTGCTCTGTTATTAGCTAATGGTGAAAGCACTGGGAATTCTGGAAGCAACAGTGGAAACATCACAAGTGCTGGACCTCTAGGAGCCACTAGTGGGTCATCACAGACCAGTATCTCAGGAGATGTTGTTGTGGAGTCCTGCTGCAGTGTACTTTCCATGGTTTGTGGTGACCCTGTCTACAAAGTGTATGTTGCTGCTTTAGTAAGTAGTTTGTTCTTTTCAAATATTAAATTTCTGAAAGTACCTTTGAAGTTTGGAGATGTGGAAGCACTATTTAAGTGCTTGCAAGAATCCTAAAACAGTCTTCCTGACCTGGTATCCATGTTGGAGCGCAGTTCCCATCATTTTCAGTGAGCATAGCAATTGGCTGTGGTGTTTGAGGATAATACAGGATGTAGTTGACAATCCAGAGTGTACCAGATTGGGGAAGGGTGACCAAGGGTATGTGACTCATGTTTTTGGAAATGTTCCAAGGAACAGATGGCCACCATTGGCCATATCATGTTCTGTAGCTCCAGTGATGTAACAAGAATGACATCACCGGCAGTGGCAGATTGGCACTAATTAGAAGACTCCTGCTTTGAGTTGGAGTTGTGACCTCACACAGAATGAGGTAAAGTTGCATGAAACCAGAACTGAAAGAGTAACACTTTTTGGTTAGTGGCAATTTGCCAGTGCCAATGATGTCCCTCCTGGTTATGCTGATGGAACTGTGGGATGGGAGCCATATTGACCTGCTATAGATAAGCTCAGTTTAGTTTACACATCCACAAGCACAACCTGAACAGTATGAGCAACTTGTGCTTGTAATTTTCTCCTGGCTTTTGGTTTTATTTTTTGTGGGGGAGGGATAAGCCACATGGATCTTGATTTAATTCTGCATAGCACAGAAGCTTTGACAGTCACAGGAAGCTTATCTATATGGTGGTGTTCAAGAGCTCTTGCTGTTCCATCACATTGTTACAGTGCCAGCTCACAGTGAGAATATGCACTGGGACCTGCTTATTGAAAAAAAACTGTCAGGACTTTTTTTCCCCTTCAGAATCTTCATACAGTATTTGAAATATTTTATGCTTCGAGGTATTGGCGGAACCAATTCCTCAAATATAGGAAGACACTGAAAGTTGCTAACACTCTGATTTTAAACTATATATTGCTTCCCCCTGTTTACCTTTGGAATCTTTCAGGCTTTGGGTGTTATTGCTGCTTCAGCCAGTAGGGGGCACATTATTAGGGAAAAAAATCTTAGACTAGCTGAAATACTGTTGCTCCACTCTGCGTGTGCAATTGAGATGATGTTATCATCCGTGGCAAATCCTCACTGATTCAATGCATTTTGGGGGGTGCACATGGCTCATAGACGATGTAATGAAGTCATGTGCACCTGAAAGCCTTTAATGAGAGGTGGTTTGGTTTGTCGCTGATAGTTACATCATCCCTGGTGCACACATGGAGCTGCAGAAAAGTATTTGAACTGCTGTCACCCTTCCTAATAGACTGCCCAGTAAACTAACTGCCTTTATCAGAGGTGGCAGGCTGTGTTTAGGAGAGTCAACTTTTTGGGGGAATTAGCAAGAGAAGATCTTATAATGTATAAAGAATCTTTTAAAAAATTTATATGTTACTTATCCACTTAAGATTATTGGACAGCATACTGTAGTTTAATATGCATCAGATTGTTTGCATCCCGAAATTGATTTTTGCTTGTGAAAGTATTTCCTGCAATAAATGTGTTAGAAATGCATACATTTTGTGGAAATGGAGTAACTACCTTTCTAGAATGTGTGCTTTTAAAAAAATTATTTTTTAAAATAAGGACAAGAACAAACAAACATTTCTTTCTTTTCTTAGAAAACATTAAGAGCCATGTTGGTGTATACACCCTGTCACAGCCTGGCAGAGAGATCAAAACTGCAACAACTTCTAAAACCAGTTGTGGAAACAATATTGGTGAAATGTGCTGATGCCAATAGGTATAGTGCTTATTCTATTCACTTTTTAAATATTCAAATCTGTATAAGTATTTTCATTTATAGTCTGAAAAGAAGACCATATGAAAGAATGATGATAAACACAGGCATATTTGGAAAGAGAGTCACTGTTAACTTTTTACCATTTCAGTTTCTGCTAAAGTAGGCTCTCCTCACAGAGGGGTTGAGCACTGCTAGAGGACAGGCTGCCTTCCAATTTTTTTCTGCCGCCATGACAAGTAAACATCTTAAGAAGACGCTGGACATCCTCCAGTTTGCTTCAGTTTTGATCAAGTCAACATTGGGCACTAGGCTGCCTTGAAATACTGTTTCTGACAAACCTAGAGCAGCCTCATGAAAAACAGAGTCAAAATGTAACATCACAGAACCAGTGAAGAAAGCAATCACTAGAGTTAGCAGGCAAATTCGATTATGTGGTACAAAAGCACCAAATACAGAGGTTTCAAGGGGTTGTTGAAACTATCAACTGCGACACTGCCTCTGAGACGTCAGTTTTGAAAGGCAAAGCTGAGGTGATGCCTGTAGAAAAAGGCTCAGTTGCATTGGTTCAGCCTTCTGAAGACTATACTTGAGGGATAAGGAATGTTTTTAGCCAAGGGTTCAAATTGACTAAAGCTGGAAAGTTGTGCTGCATGAAGCTATGGACCAGGCTGTTCCTGGTGTGTGCTCATCTACAGACATTCAGATAAGTGGTCGAGGGGAGAGGGAGACATACATAGATACAGGTTTTCTGTCAGATAACAGCAGAAGCTGGAGTAAGGCAACTGAATGGTAGGTGAGGGGGGGGTCATTCCTTGAGCTGTTGGCTAAATTGGTATGTCTTTGGTACTAGGAACCGTTCTCCTGTAGTGAGGTTGAGGTTTTGAGAGAGAGAGAGAGGGCTCACTTGGGTCCATAAGACAGATCCATGCTCCAAAGAAACACACAGATCCAGTGAAGAGCTCTGAACTGCAGCTTGAGTTTAAATATCAGCCTTCTGTGTTGGAGAGTTACAGCTGATGCTATCATCAGAGTCTAGCCAACCAGCTATACAATGATTAAGTAGGTTGGACTCCTGTATCCAAAGCAGAGACTATGCAGTTTGTGATCTGAGGCAGCAGGGCCCATGTGATCTTTCATTAGAGTGGACAGTGAGAAATTCTAAATTTGCAAAGGCAGACTTATTTTTTAATTAATAGTAAATTACCAGATGCATGTAAATATGGATGAAAATGTATTCCTACGAAGTCTTCTTAACTCATGTAATGCTATTTTCAGCAGCTTGCTTGATAATTATAAAGTGACAGCATCTCTGCTTGTAAAATACAGAAAATGGAAGTCCTGGGAGATACAAAAGAATAACATTCTTTGTTTTTGATATTTTATAGCCGTACCAGCCAACTTTCAGTTTCAACGCTCCTGGAGTTGTGCAAGGGTCAGGCAGGAGAGCTTGCAGTTGGTAGAGAAATACTTAAATCTGGTAAAAACTTTTGTTTATGTTTACTTCTGTAGTACCATTAGTGTATTTTGTGCTTTAGAGCAGCGGTCCCCAACCTTTTTGGGACTGTGGACTGGTTGGAGGGTCCGTGCGTGGGTGGGGGTGTTGTACTTGCGGGGGATTGTCCTCACGGGGGGGCATGTTGTGCTTGCATGAATGCGTGACATACCCACCAGCAAGCGCAACACGGCCACTGTGTGGGGGGGACGACGGAGATCCATCTCCACGGCCCAGTTCCAGTAAGCCCACGGACCAGCACCAGGCCGTGGACTGCGGGTTGGGGACCCCTGCTTTAGAGTATCTCTTCCTTCCCTCTGTTGAAATGTTAGATGGTGGACTTCTTGTAGCAATAATGACAAAAGATTAATGTGAACAATTGTAGTTAATCATGGCTCAGCTTTGATCTGTTCAGAGATTAAGCCTGAAGAATTGAACCACAGGCTTCATAGATATACTTTGATAAGGAATTTGAAGGGATGGAAGAGGGAAGTTACAGAATAATTAACTGGCTGGAAACACATGACCTTACGAAACCTCTCTGTAAAATTGCAATGTGGTACAGGCATTGATTTTATGTGAAATCATGAAAAAAACACCAGCTCATTTATTTATAGTATTTATTTTTCTCCTCCTAAAAAGCTATCTGACAAATATGGGATCTTCTTCTTTGAATTCAGTCCTGTATCCTGATCGCTATGTGAATATCTTAACATGATACATGATCGTTAAAAGGGGATTGTTAAAATGGATTAAACAGGCAGAAAACTTCAGAGTGGAAGACATTTATCATGAGAAACTATAGTGAGATTTGTAAGAAGTGGAAAGAACAATGAGTAAAACGTCACAATAATACTGTGATTATGGGTTGGAGATCACAAACTTAATATATGGGTATTGGACTTCTGGTTCAGGGTTTACACCTGAATCGCAAAAATGTGAGAGCCATCTGACAAAAGCATTGAATGAAGAATTATTTAATACTTCAGTGTCTTGCAAAAGTAGATGCATTAATATCTGTAATGATATAGTGGTGCCTCGCTTAGCGATCACTCCATTGAGCGACGAAATCGCTTAGCGATGGACTTCTTGCCATCACAAAAGCGATCGCTTAGCGATGGTCCCTATGGGGAAAATTCGCTTTGCGATGATCGCGGGGAAGCAATCATGGCAAAGCAACCCTTTTTTATCGGCTGGTCGGCGGTTTCAAAATGGCCGCCAGCTGTTTTGCCTCGCTTAAGAGGCAGCGAAAATGGTGGCACTATGGTGGATTTTCGCTGAAAGGTAAGTTTTTAAGCCTATAGGAACACATTAAACACGTTTTAATGCGTTTCTATGGGGTTTTAAAAATCGCTTAGTGATGTTTTTTCCGGAACGGATTAATGTCGCTAAGCGAGGCACCACTGTATTTGTGTTGTGTTTTAGTATAAACAGATGGGGTGGAAATGTTCTGTTTAGTGACACAGGAAAGTATCTAGTACTGGTAAGAAGTAACTGAGGATTCTGAATAAGACAAGCTGCAGTTTGCAGCAACAGAAATAATGACTTAATTGTAAAAACCTAACTGATGGTCTGACTATGTATAATCCATTTTGGATTACGTGTGTTCTCTGTTAAAATACTTTTCTTTCATTCTTTCTTTATTGGTAGGTTCCATTGGCATTGGAGGCATTGATTTTGTCTTGCATTGCATCCTTGGAACACAACCTGAATCAAGCAACTGGCAAGCACTGCTTGGACGTCTTTGTCTTATAGATAGACTGCTGTTGGAGTTTCCTGGTGAATTTTATCCCCACATTGTTAGTGGGGATGTCTTACAGGCCGACACTGTGGTAGACAGGTATTATTTCAGGAAATACTGCTCTTTTTAAATTTAAAATACTGATCTTTTAAAATACTGCTCTAGTGCTGGAATTTGGTTGGTTCAAAGGAGTTAAAAACATATTTGGGGAAGCTTTGCTTGCAACATTGACTTGCTGCTTTATTTTTACATTACACTTTTGTAGTGACTAATTGACATAAACCTTGCTCTGTATTTACTTGCAGGTACAAGAAGCTGCTGTCACTGTTGAGCTTCGCCCTACAATCCATTGATAATTCCCATTCAATGGTTGGCAAATTGTCACGGAGGGTATTTTTAAGTGCTGCCAGAATGGTTGCAAGAGTGCCCCATGTGTTTGTAAAACTGTTAGAAATGTTGAGCGTGACGAGTTCAACACATCATACAAGAATGCGTCGACGGTTGATGGCTATTGCAGATGAAATGGAAATTGCAGAAGCCATCCAGTTAGGTATGGAAGAGATGCAGTCCAGTGAACAAAGACGTGAGTTTGTGCAGCCTCTGGTTCCTGATAATTCTCCAGAGTCATCCGAGTCCAACACTCCAAATAACACAATCCAGTTATCAGGGAAAAATGGGAAAGTTCTGGGTGATGAAAAACTGATGGCCAGTCCTGAGGACATTTCTGACACAGTGGCTGGTATTTCCTTAGCGCTTCCTGCCTCTTCAGGAACAATGGAGCAACCAAAGCCAGCCATTCAGACAAAAGGCAGACCTCCTGGTCAGTGCTTGAACTCTTCTCTTTCATCTTGTCATTCCCAATCAGTGTTCCCAATTTTGCCTTCCCCAGCGATTCCTCCTGTGCCCACAGGAACAGATATTTCTAAACACAGACCTCAGGGATATGTTCCCTGCAAAATACCTTCAGTTTCTCCTCAAATGCAACGGAAGCTTTATCTTCAGATACACTCTGTTGGACCTAAAGACTCAGAAAAACTTTCTCCAGTTTTTACACAGGCCAGGCCTCTACCATTCAATCATATACACCGGCCAAAGCCATCTCGACCTACCCCATGTGACATGAACAAACAGGGCGAAGTCTCCAAAAATAGCATGACACTTAATTTAAATGATCTGTCACAATGTGATGGTGGTGGTAGTAGTAGTAGTAGTAGTAATAGTGCCATTATACCAAGTGAAGAAACTGTGTTCACCCCAGTAGAGGAGAAACATAGTCAACTGGATATTAATACAGAGCTCAATTCCAGTATGGAGGACTTACTTGAAGCATCAATGCCAGCTAGTGATGGAACAGTCACATTCAAGTCTGAAGTGGCAGTTTTGTCTCCCGAACGTGCAGAAAATGACAACACATACAAAGATGATGTAAATCATAATCAGAAATGCAAGGAGAAGATGGAAGCTGAAGAAGAGGAAGCTTTGGCTATTGCCATGGCAATGTCAGCATCTCAGGATGCCCTTCCAGTAATTCCTCAATTGCAGGTTGAAAATGGTGAAGATGTCATAATTATTCAGCAGGATGTGAGTTCATGACTTTTTATTTTCTTAGGCTATATACAAACGTTGTTGCACAGTGCATTTCTCTTGTGTGTTTTAGTGATAAGGTGAAACATTTTGTCCTCTGAGATAATACTGTTCAGATGGAACATAATCAGCTACCAGTTGGAGTCTAATAGTGTTGTACGTTTTTATTCAGACTGTTAAGTTTGTGGGAAGACGGTTAGGAGATCTCCTGTTTAGCACAGGAAACAGCAACAGTGCTCCTGTTTTAAACTTACCTTATAGTTTGTTTCTGGAGCAATAAACCAGGTAGAAGGTTATGTTTAAACGGAGGTTACTAGGTTTATTTAGAAGAACATTAGATAGAAAAAATCTGTCCTAACGTGATAGAAGACCCATGTCTGAAGGCTTGAGCAAACAGCCCAGAGAAGAGGGAATTTAGCCCTCTCTCAAGAAAGCGACGTTAACAATTTGAGGGTTAGAAAAGACAGAGGAGGAGGAGGAGACAGGAAGTGGTGTACATTTAATTCTTTATGAGTTTACCTACTTCAAAAGTAAGAAGGGATGTCAAAATCATAATGAAAGTAAAAATAATTTAACTGTTCTGTTTGCTACATACATTACGTTCCTGGTTTTTAACTAGGAGAAAACAGATGTTGGTCTATCCTTGCAAATAGGTTCTGTGTTTTTCTCTTGTCATTGAAAACAAAAGTAGAGTGACGTTGCTTATCAAATGTTATTTTTTGTAGCGGAATAGGAAATAAATGGCTATAAGAGATATCAAAAGAATTTATTACCTGCATATGATAGTAGAAAAAGATGTGATAGTAAAAAAATAAATAAGTAAAAATAATGAGCAATTGCTTTTTTGTTGTTGTTGTTAAATTAGGGTGGCCATGAGAGTGCTCCTTTCTTGCAAATTCATGGTTTCTGCATAGAAGAACTAATATAAATGCACAAAATAAAAATAGATTCTAAAGCTGTTTCACATTTCGTCTAACAGTGACAAGCCTTGCAACTTATAATCAAAGCAGAAAGCAAAGCAAAGTGTGCCACTTACTGTATATACCATCCTCATGGCACTTAAAGCACTCTCTGGGTGGTTTGCAATTTAATTATGCAATTTAATTTTGCCTGCATAATTAAATTAGGTTATTTCAGTACAAGGATATAGTATGCTGTTGGTTTTTTTGTTATGTGCCATCAAGTCACTTCTGATGTTGAAGCGAAATCACATACAGCCCTAGTTCACATAACAAGTCAGGGACCTCTCATGCCCAACAAGTATCCTAGTGCATGTTGCTCGATCACTCCCACTTGCAGCTGGAGTGGCTGAACAGATCACAGAGCTTTGCGTTTGTTTATCCAGTTGTGCAAATGTGGGCCACTTTCCTTGTCTACTGTTTCTCTTCCAATAAACCAAAGAAAGACTCCAGGTAGTAGGAGTAGTATGCTACATGTTTCTCAATATTGCTGGTGCAGAGGGTGGACCCAAAGGTTAAGTTTAAAAATTAGGAGTCAAACCCTACAGATACATGGGTAAGATGACATGTTTGCAAAATCACTGATTTTTGAATTTCAGGAAACAAATTAGCATCTATTGGCAATTGTTTTAAGCTGGCATCCAAATATTTTAATAGAAATGCCTGTTGCTGAAATGAGTACGGAAAGAAGGATGAACCACTTTTGCTGCTGCTGCTTTTATTTAGTTTGTCGTTCATTAGTTGTTGGCTTGCCTCTTTGGCTTAGTTCATGAGAAACAAACAACAGAAGGAGAACTGCCTTCATTTGCTTGATGCAAGAAACAAAGCACAGAGCGAAACACTCCCACAGCTAGTAAGAGGGGATCAAACACACTACTTGTACAAACAAAGCCATGTAAATTCACACATACTGTCAGTTCTAAACTGTATAGTGACAGTAGAGATGCAGATGTATTGTTTGAAATTGTTATGTTACAGTTTGCTGAGAGGTCATTGTTCATGGTTGTTGGTCATAGTGGCTGCATATTTCTGTTACGGTCAGTATATCTCTGAATGCCAGATATTAGGAGAATGTTAGTGGCATCTTGTTCTCTGAATGAGCTTTCCGGAGGTGTCGGATTAGCTGTTGTGAGAACAGAATGCTTGACTAGAGAGGACCTTGGTCTGATCCTGTGGGGCTTGCTCTTATGTTCTTGTCTCTAATTAATTTCTGCAGATGTGTCCTTCTACTTACTGGCTATCCCCTCTCTCCACCTTTTGCTTGAGGCAGAGCTATTGTTATATTGTCTGCACTGGCTACAGACACAAAAGGAAAATGTATAGAATAGAATAACTTTTCTGTTGAGCTTACTAAACATGAGATATTTTATTAAATATGCAGTTTGAAAATTAAAACTAGCTTTATTTGTTTTTTTAAATGAGCCAAATCCTATAAACGGATAGTCAATGTTTGTTCAGATTGTTATGCTGGTAGGAGCACTGCATACAGTTTATGCGTTCTGAAAGACTTATTATTTCTGACTTTGTTTAGAAAACATGTTTATCCTTTTCTTGGACAACAGTGTATATGTTATGGTTTCAGAGAGCAGTAACTGTTTATTTCACTTGCAGACACCAGAGACCCTGCCTGGGCATACCAAAGCAAAGCACCATTATAGGGAGGATGCGGAATGGCTTAAAGGACAACAGATTGGTCTCGGTGCATTTTCTTCATGTTTTCAAGCTCAGGATGTTGGAACTGGGACATTAATGGCAGTGAAACAGGTAAAGTTTACTCTTTGGTGAATATTTTATAATTATTCATTGGAAAATAAAATAAGAATGAACAAATACAGAGATCTAGAGTGTCCTTAGTCAAATTAATTTGATAACTTGGGGAAGAATTTTTTTCATTTTCAAAATATACCTGGCTTTTTCTTCTGTGTGCTTGTTGGGTGGAAGACTAGCCTTAATGTAATCCAGATCCATTAATGTAATGTAATGAAATCTCTTTTGATATTAATATTTATATTGGATAATTCTGTTGCTGAGTATGACTGTTCATCCTGTTTCTTTTCTGTCTTCAGAGAAAGCCATTTTCATGTGTCTACAGGGCTTTCCCTGTCTAATATCCTAAGATGTATTTGTTATTTATGCCTGTTTATAAAGATCCTGCATACATGAGCGTATTATTTGGCACACACTGAGCAACTTAAAACTAACAGTGGGGAAAGCCTTGGATTGTGGGACAAAGATATAAACAAAACTGACTCAGTCTTGAGCAATCTCAGGGAAAGTTGGGACATAAAACATTTTCCCTCCTCTTTCTACTTAGTCATAACTAAAATCTCTCTGATTTGAGTGGATGTGCTCTATAAATAGGAGTAATTCCGCATCTAATTCAGTTTTTGTATAGTACGGTACAAATGCTTCTTCTAAATGCAATCCACATGCAATGCTTTGCCTTATTGCGTGAAGTGGCTGAGTAGAGATGCTTGAGGGGAGGAAAAGGAATTAGGTACAGACATCTTGTTCAAAAGACATTTGCCTACAACAGGTATACAAAAGAAGAGGAAGATTAACTTGACATGGGGTAAATGGAGAAAGGACTCACCTGGCCATGAGTCCTTCCTTCAGAGTACTTCTCATGGTGTTTATCTTCATTTACTGCATAACCTGCTAATGGAGTTGATGGCCCTGAACTAATGAAAATTAGCTTGTCTTATTTAAGCAAATGTTGAAGCAGAGCTTGATCTTGTGATGTATAATACAGGTGACATATGTCAGGAATACATCATCTGAGCAGGAAGAGGTGGTAGAAGCCTTAAGGGAAGAGATAAGGATGATGAGTCATCTGAATCACCCCAATATCATCCGAATGTTGGGTGCTACATGTGAAAAGAGCAACTACAATCTCTTTATAGAATGGATGGCAGGTGTGTATACCCTAAAACAGGGGTCCCCAACCTCCAGTCTGCAGCCCGGTACCAGTCCATGGTCTTGGCAGGACCAGGCTACGGAGACAGATCTCCCGTCCCCTGCATGCACATACACAGGGATGCACGCACGCCCCCCCATATGCACCCCATGCATGCACGCACCGCCCTTCCCATTCATGCACATACTCCCGCATGCATACACACACACTTGCTTTCCCTCCCGCATGCACACTAAACCAGTCTGTTGTGTCAAAAAGGTTGGGGACCACTGCCCTAAAACACCCTTTCTCTTTCCCTTTCACTTTTTCCCTTTCTGACTTCACATTTACAAATCTGTCTGTTTGTATGTAATTGTCCTTGAACTTTTGAACTATTTTGCCAGCTCTCATGAAAGACGTGTTGATTTTTAAAATATTCACTATTAGTATTTTTACTGTCATTTTTTTCTGAAAAGACGTCATTGTGGTACACAATAAATCAAGTATAAAAGTGAAACCATCAACAACTAAACTATTAATAAACCATTAAAACCACAATAATGTAAAAAAACTAATGCAATGAAAAAAATTTTAAAAAGATGAAAAAAAGGTTTCTTGACGTCTTTCCAAAAAGCTAAGAAATTAGTGGGCATTCGTAACTGTCAAGAGAAAGTCCTTTCCTGAAATGCCTGACAAAGGGGTCTCTGCAGGCAATGGTATCTCTATAAGCAATCTTCCAGGATGTTCTGCTAATGAGATGGGCAGTCCCTTGGATAGCCAAGCTCTAAATTGTCTGGGGGTTTAAAGATTAAAACCAGCCCCTTAAGTTGAGCCTTGACAACAGTTGCTAAGTATTGATGTGATATGATCTTGGCTTAGCTGCTGCATATTTGATCAGTTGAAGCTTCTGAACACTTTAAGAGCCATGCTACCATCAGGAAACATAAAAGAAGGGAGTTATAAGAACAGATTTCTGTGAACCTGTTATATCATCAGAGAGTAAACCAGTCCTCTCTTACTTCCCACCTTGATCTGCATGATTAACAATCCCTGCTTCTGACTGTTAGAACCATTCCAGCTAGATTACTGTACTGTTCTACTTGCCTTTTTCTTGTTGAAGAACTTCTGAAAATAGTGTGCAGTACACAATCAGTCACATAGATAATTGAGGCCAGTTGTGAAGAATACATCATATCACCACTAAAAACAACTTTATTTGTTACCAGTTTATTTCAGAACTTGCTTCAAAATGCTACTCTTCATCTTAAATAATTTGGTTCTAGAGATCCTCAGTGACTACCTCCTCTATTTGTTACCCGTTTATCTGAGAACTTGCTTCAAAATGCTACTCTTCATCTTAAATAATTTGGTTCTAGAGATCCTCAGTGACTACCTCCTCTCATATGAAACTGTCTGTTGGACCTGCTGCATGCAAAACATGTCATAGGGATATGCCATGCTCTTTGAAGTATTATTATTCCAGCTCTGGGAATTCTCCAATAATTCCCCCAGCAGAATTCTGGGAGTTCCAGCCCATAGATGCACACCTACAGACATCTATATTTCATTTATGTACATCAGGGCCTTGTTTTGGGCCTACTTCATATTGTTTAGGATCCAAGAGGGAAGTTGCTGTGGTGTTATCTGGGCAGTGTATTTGTTTGGGAGGCACATTCTATACAGTCTAAAGGGCAGCAGAATTACAGTTCCCATGAAGAAGCTTTTAATTAGGTATTACATCTCTTTTTATGGAAATGAGCAATGCAAATAAAAGTTCTGTGGTGGATACCATGATTCATATAAGATGCTGAGATGTAGAAGGATGATCAGTTAAGGGAGTGAATAGCAGAAGCTGCAAATCAGAATATGAAAAAGGGATCAAGTAAGAACTGAACAGTAGGACAAATTTCTAGACAGCTTCCCATCATTATCTTCTCCAGAAAGGGGTTAGGATGCAAATGTGTATATACTAGAGATGGGCACAAACTGCCGGTTGAGCATTGCATTTACTGGCCAAACAAGCCCCACCCATTCAGAGGCAGTGCTTGGAGGGGGGGCAGAGAAGCTGGGGCGCTACTTCTCAGTTGGTGCCCACCAGAGGGGGCTGGACAAAGCACTGCAGAACATCTGTTGGGTTGGTAAACGAATCTGGACAAACCACCGAACTGGTGATTCATGCTCATCTCTAGAATGTACAAACTATTGGAGCAGTCTGTTTTCTGACATGAGTGATTGGAAAAAGAGAATAAACTTAGACCTATGGATCATATCCAAAAGAGTTTATCATCATTTTTCCCAATTTTTTGAGATGTTCCACATGCAAAGAGCCAGTTTGCCTTCCTAATTCTGTATTCATTCATGACTCCTCCTAATTCCTATGTCCCAGATATGTTGGGGAAACATATGATGAATGTACAGCAGAATTTGAGTGCCCCCACTTATTTTGTTATTCTAATCAGTGCTTCAGATATAAGAACAGTTGTTTTATTCGGTTCTTTTCACTATTTCAAGATAGGAATACTACGTTTTATTTGAAAGATTTAGTAGGAAATATTTCTTTTGTTCATTATCAAATTATGCAATCTAGAAGGAAGCGATTATGTATTATAATGTTAATTAATTAATTAATTATGTATTATAATGTATTTAAATGCTGATTTATATTATTAACCAGCCATTCTCAACATTGTTTTGGCTATGGCCCTCTTAGGAGCTCTTCCCAGGTCATTAATTATGTATTATAATGTATTTAAATGTTGATTTATATTATTGACCAGCCATTCTCAACATTTTTTTGGCCATGGCCCTCTTAGGAGCTCTTCCCAGGTTCCAGGGGGGCCTGTCGAACAAGGAAAACCTTTGGCTATGCACAGCTAAGGATACAACAGAAATAGATGGATATGTGGCCCCCCTTCAAATGTGCCAGGGCTCTCCAGGGGGACATATGGCCCCCATTGACCATTGTGCCAGGGCTCCCCAGGGGGACATATGGCCCCCATTGACCACGGCTGTTACAGACTATGCTCCCTACATAGAAAATACATTTGCATCCTTTGCTTCAGTCTCCCCCTTCTCTTCAAAGCCCATGTGTCACATGCACAGAAGGGGCATGTGCACATTTAAAGCAGAGATCCAGGAATTGTGCATGAAAGGAGGCAACAGAAAAGCTGGCTTCTTCTGCCATGTGTGACTGGGCAGCTGTATTCAATACAAGAGTAACATGAGGTGTTAAATGTCAGAGTTAGGACCTGCAATAGTTTAATTGTAATTGAACAAAACACTTTACAATGGGCAGAATCTTACTAATCATTTTTGTTGGTCTAAGTGCAACATTATAAATCACAGCAGTAAATTGCCACTAGTTAAGAAGTCAACACTTATATTCCTGGCCCCACTCCCAAGATAGGCAACTGGGATGCAATGACTACAAGTAGCAGCTCTTTAACTAGCAGTAGTTCACTGCTGCTGTTCGTGGCAGTGCAGTTAATTCCAGTATACATAAATAATAGATTCTGGCCAGACTAAAATACATAGTTGGCATGTTTAAATTATCCAACCTCAAAGACTGCTTGTTGGCATACTCTTAAACAGAAATATGTTCGATATGTGAATAGTGATATAATTAGAGAGATTGTTGTGTGTCATGAAAGAATTGTGTAAAGGGACAGAGAGAGAGAAACTAAAACTGAATTTATAAACTTACCTTTAAAAGTACTCACTTAACTGCATAGTGGTTTTTACAATTCTTTTAAGATATTGCTGTAGAATGGTAATAAAATATAAATTTTCTGTGAGGAGTGTTAATGTCAGCTGAAATATACTTTCTTCTTCCAGGGGGATCTGTTGCCCATTTATTAAGTAAATATGGAGCCTTTAAAGAGTCTGTGGTTGCAAATTACACAGAACAGTTGCTTCGTGGCCTTGCTTACCTTCATGAAAATCAGATCATCCACAGAGATGTCAAAGGTAAGAGCAGCATTACTAGAGTTGGACCAAGGTTGTATTTTTAACAGCCTCTCTAATGGGAAGGATTTGGGAATACATATTTCACACGTGTACAGACCGCATGAGAGTGAAGCAGTAGTTCTCAAGAGCTACTGTTTGTTCAGAAAGCTTCTCTAACCAGAAAAAGAAGCCCAGGATTCTTTGTCTCCTTCTTTGTGTATGTTTGCTAGATAAAAATAGTGCACTGTACCAGAATGGATTACAAGCAGAAGAAAAATGTATTAAAAACCAGAGCTGGGCACAAATTGGAAAATTGGTGGTTCATGATGGTTCAGGGCTAACCATGGACCACCATGAACCCACAGAAAAACATACCAGTTTGCGGTTTGTTTTTCTGGTTCATGCCGGGAGGGGCGCGCTAGCTGCTCATGCTACTGCCGAGGTGGACACATATTTAGAGGCAGCAGTGGGCTCCTGGCAGGGAAGCCACACTCTGCCTCTGAGCATATACCCACCTATCAGCTGGGTGGCAGTTTCATGCTCAGACATAGCAGCTGAGTCCTGGCCCACTGCCTCTGAGCATGACACCTGCAGAGGCAGTGGCAGGAGCAGATAGTTAAAGGCAACTGGGGCAGTGGGAAGGGGGCAGATGGGCATCACCTTTTGCCAACACAAATGAAACACCAAAGGGAAGAAACTTCAGCATTCCTTTTTGCTTCAGCAAAATGGGATCCCCAAACTGGGTCATGAAACAAACCAGCCCGTTTTTTTTTTGTTGTTGTTGTTGTTGTTTTTTGGCTTTTTTGTTTCATGCCCATCTCTATAAAAATGTATTGGACAGTATTCCATTCAGCATTCATGTGTGCAGAACCCCAAGTGCAGAGGCTGCAGCAGCAATTTGACAAGCTTCTATTTCTATGCTTGGTTGCCTGTGGTCAACATTTTGCCAGATCACTGCAGCAGCTTCTATAGTTAGAGCTCTGCACGTATGTAAAATATTGAACAGGTTGCTGGTCGTTGTGTGAGTGCATTCATATTTGTACTAATATATAAGTTGCTGTGATTTTTCTACAAAACCTTTCCTTCTTGTGGATAAACTATAGCAAAGGAAAATATTTGTTCAGATAAAGAGAAGCATTATTGACTGTTAGCTTGTTTTAAAAGTTCAGAAGTGTTCAGATATTTTTCTCAGTTTTGGGGAGAAAAGTGCTCATTTTGTATCAGGAGGCATCCCAAAATATGTGCTCCCTACCCACACAGAGGAAAGGCAGGGATCACACGAGCAAGGTCTTACACCTTAGTATTGGTCTCTATAGCCCTCCTTTTCTATTCATTCCTTGCATATGCATTTACTTATGCATATGCATTTACTTTCTCACAACGTCATATTGCCTGTATTCTTTGACAATATCCAGACTCTCCTCTTTATTTTACTATTACAGTTCTTTCCTCAGCTTTTTTTTTTAAGGTATTGGTCTCTATAGCCCTCCTTTTCTATTCATTCCTTGCATATGCATTTACTTATGCATATGCATTTACTTTCTCACAATGTCATATTGCTTTATTCTTTGACAATATCCAGATTCTCCTCTTTATTTTACTATTACAGTTCCTTCCTCAGCTTTTTTTTAAATGTGTGGTTTGGTTTGGTTATAGTTTGGATGTATGCAGCATCTTTGTCCAGCACTTTAAAGTTGGAGACTTACAAAAAAGTAGAAGTAACATTTGGATGGAAGATGTTCTAATAAGTAGTCTTTCTTTCCTAAAATTATTATGCTGTTAAACTGCCCAGAATAGTGTATCACACAAATGGGGTGGTAAATAAGTTAATGAAATAAATATAAATAAATGGATAGAACTGGAAGGGAGGATGTGCCATAGCAAAAGATCTTGTTCGTTTGATCCTTCTTATTCCAGGGTAGAACCCATTTTTTATTATGCTTTTTTCACACCAACTTGGAATGGAGCTTCTGAGTAAATGACTGATTTTCCATTTTTTGTGGAGACACCCATTTCTGGAAGTTTTGACTAGAGATGGGGGTATTTGTATACGAATACAAACCCCCTTGCACAGCTGGACAAGACTTACCCATCTGCTGCTGGTACGAGCTCCATTCTCCCTTCCAGTCGTTCCGGAGCTTTTTGCCTCTAATTGTATGCTCTGCCCTTTCCGAAAGACTGGCTTATATATGTCCTGTTTTCAGATGCCTCCTTGTATGGAACAGAGAACGTATCTGTGGCCTGTGCTATCATTTAACACATACCACAGAAAAATACTGTGGAGTTTTATTACTCTTGGCTTTCATGGAGTGATCCAAGCCCATCCTATATAGTTCTTTTAGTCCTTCATCCTTTGTTTGATTCTACATTGTCCTTTTGAAGGAATATGGTCTTTTTCTTTTTAAACAATATCCTGTTTTTAAATTTTATTTTCCTATTAAACACTATTTTGTCTCATGCTTGGTATGGATATTGGGATGTTGATGCATGCGTTGGTGATCTCCAGGATCAAATACTGTCACTTGCACTATGAAGGGCTTCCCTTGAGGTTCACCCAGAAAGTGTAGGAGATTTAGAATGTAGTTGCCAAGCTAGTGGTGGGTGTAAATAAATTCAATCGCATCTCCCCAGTAGTGGCTCACCTGTGCTGGTTACCAGTGATGTCCGGAGTCAACCTCAAGGTTATGATATTCACCTACAAAGCCCTTAATGGTTTGGGACCTTGTTACTTGTCAAAGCATCTTTTCCCAAGGTCAGCAACCCACACCACCAAATTCTCACAGGCAATGATCCTCCAGGTGGTCATGTTGAAAGAGGCCAGGAAAACATTAACGAAAAGCCAGGCCTTCTCAGCAGTGGCACCAGCGTTTGGCTCTTAGTCAAGCAGTGCCTGGCGCCCCGCTTCCCACTTTTAAGAGGTTGCTGAAAATGCTGTTCTTCAGAGATGCCTTTGAATGCAACCTGGCCTGAATTTTGTCCGCCTCATGACCTGCCACTTTTCATATGGAAATACTGTACTATTGTGGTCTGATACTGATGTAGTTTTGTATTTATTTTATGATTTCATTATTGGTTTTTGTTATGAATTATTTTTATTCTATTATGCTGTTAAACTGCCCAGAATAGTGTATCACACAAATGGGGTGGTAAATAAGTTAATGAAATAAATATAAATAAATGGATAGAACTGGAAGGGAGGATGTGCCAAAGGAAAATATCTTGTTCGTTTGATCCTTCTTATTCCAGGGTAGAACCCATTTTTTATTCTGCCTTTTTCACACCAAGTTGGAATGGAGCTTCTGAGTAAATGACTGATTTTCCATTTTTTTGTGGAGACACCCATTTCTGGAAGTTTTGACTAGAGATGGGGGTATTCGTATACAAATACAAGCCCCCTCGCACAGCTGGACAAGACTTACCCATCTGCCGCTGGTACCAGCTCCATTCTCCCTTCCAGTCCTTCCGGAGCTCCTGGTCAGCTATCCACTCGTCAGCCTGGCAGGGGGACTTGTCTTCCCTCCTTTTCTCAGGAGTGGATAGTCAATCAGGAGCTCCGGAACGATTGGAAGGGAGAGCCAGAGCCGGTGCCGGCAGCAGATGGGTGAGTGGACGGTCCAGCCCCAGGGGGCTAGACCCTTGTCGCATCCAGCTATGCGGGGATATTCGTATATGAATACCCCCATCTCTAGTTTTGACTTCAGTTTCTGCACTGCTTAAACCTTAATCAAGATTGTTGGTGTGCAGTGAAGGAATGTGTTCAAGTTTTCAATATTGGGTTCTATAGCCATTTGAGTTTCTGGTAAACATGTAAATCACCATTTATTTTCTTATGACAGGTGCCAATTTGCTAATTGACAGCACGGGCCACAGATTAAGAATTGCTGATTTTGGAGCTGCAGCTAGGTTGGCGTCTAAAGGAACTGGTGCTGGAGAGTTTCAAGGACAATTGTTGGGGACCATTGCATTTATGGCACCTGAGGTAGATACTTATTTGTGCAGTTTTGTGAAAATGATGTACTGTGTGATTATTCTTGTTTTAACTGCTTGGGTCAACTAGATGTGCTTTGCCATTCAACCAAGAGAAAGATGTATAATTTTGCCCTGCCTGCCCTTTGAGATGGGGGTATTCGTATACAAATACAAGCCCCCTCGCACAGCTGGACAAGACTTACCCATCTGCCGCTGGTACCAGCTCCATTCTCCCTTCCAGTCCTTCCGGAGCTCCTGGTCAGCTATCCACTCGTCAGCCTGGCAGGGGGACTTGTCTTCCCTCCTTTTCTCAGGAGTGGATAGTCAATCAGGAGCTCCGGAACGATTGGAAGGGAGAGCCAGAGCCGGTGCCGGCAGCAGATAGGTGAGTGGACGGTCCAGCCCCAGGGGGCTAGACCCTTGTCGCATCCAGCTAGAGTGGACGGTCCAGCCCCAGGGGGCTAGATCCTTGTCACATCCAGCTATGCGGGGGTATTCGTATACGAATACCCCCATCTCTAGTTTTGACTTCAGTTTCTGCACTGCTTAAACCTTAATCAAGATTGTTGGTGTGCAGTGAAGGAATGTGTTCAAGTTTTCAATATTGGGTTCTATAGCCATTTGAGTTTCTGGTAAACATGTAAATCACCATTTATTTTCTTATGACAGGTGCCAATTTGCTAATTGACAGCACGGGCCACAGATTAAGAATTGCTGATTTTGGAGCTGCAGCTAGGTTGGCGTCTAAAGGAACTGGTGCTGGAGAGTTTCAAGGACAATTGTTGGGGACCATTGCATTTATGGCACCTGAGGTAGATAGTTATTTGTGCAATTTTGTGAAAATGATGTACTGTGTGATTATTCCTGTTTTAACTGCTTGGCTCAACTAGATGTGCTATGCCATTCAACCAAGAGAAAGTTTTTTGCCCTGCCTGCCCTTTAAAAAAATGCTTTATCTTCTAGCTACACTAATGGGGTGGCAAATTTGTGAACATGAGCAGAGACCAGATGAATTAAACCAAAGGCCCAACACATCCATCAACTTTTTAAAATCTCAGGCAGCTATCAGGATATTTCTAAGTAGCTAACCAGAAAAAAATGAGGAAGCAGTGGTCTCCTGCTGTTGTTTGCTAGCAATTAGTGTTTGATGTCACACCTGCCTCTTAATAGCCATTGATAGGTTTATCCTCAAAGAATTTGTCTAACCTCTCCTTATATGCTTGTCCTAATAGTGTGGTGCAAACGCATTGCTTTTCTTTCTCATTGATCAGTTGTGTGTCCAATTTTTCCCCTACCATGTTTTGCTATAGTAGCCACATGCTCCTGGCAGAAAAAGTAAAGGAGCTTCTCCATAAGTACCATACTGCTATTAAATTTTCTCATCTTCGGGCATTGCAGCCTAGCAGATCAGCCATCTTTGTGACAATATATAAGCCAAGGTTAAAGAATAAGTGCTAGAAGAGAGTAATGTTGCTCTTTGGTGCAAGATGTCAGAAATACTGTTATAATAATACAAGCACACCAATGTATCCTAATTTTTATTTCCATGCTATCAAGTTACATCTCATGATAGCCATATCAGCCTACCTACCTACAATGGATATAAAAAGTTTACACACCCCTGTTAAAATGTCAAGTGCCTGTGATGACATTTTAATGGGTATTTAAACGTTTTCTATCTCTCTGGCTTTTGTAATAAAAGTATTCATTTTTGTAAACATCAATATAGATTTAAATAAGTGAAGGGAGAATACGGATATTACAAACTGTAAACTAGGCAAAATTAAACAAAATATGGTCATATCTGACCCTTGTGTTCTTCATAGACATTTTCTTGTAAGAGATGTGTTTTCTGGAATTCTGTACAGTATATGTATATAACTTGTGCCCCTATGTATCATGATGGCCAGTATTCTAGTATGCTTTCACTGAGCATTTATTCTACCAGCATTATGCTGAGGACTGTGACACTTGTGTAAGCTTTAGCATAGCACAAGTGTAGGGTAGAGTGAGATAATCATTTCTGCAACATCAACATTTAGACAACATGATTCCTCATCAGTATGCTGGTGGCACATTACATGGAAATATGAAAAGTTTACACACCCATGTTAAAATGTCATATTTACATGTTTCATATTTACTGGTGTTTTCACATGAGTTATTAGGCTGAACAAATTCTATCACGACTTTGTATCTTCAGTAGATCTCATAAGGAAATGTTGTTTAATCTGATAGCTTTTTAACAAGGAATGCTTCTTGAAGTATGTGTAAAAATAGAAAATGAATGGAGGTTACAGTTACTACTTTCTTCCTTAGGTGCTGAGAGGCCAACAATATGGAAGGAGTTGTGATGTGTGGAGTGTTGGTTGTGCTATAATAGAAATGGCTTGTGCTAAACCTCCCTGGAACGCAGAGAAACATTCCAATCATCTTGCTTTGATTTTTAAGGTAGTGGAGTAGAAAAATATACAATGCCTGTAGTTGGTGAAACTATAGTTGGGATAATTCACCTTCCTCTTATGATGTTGAAATAAAGAAGAGCTTATGTTTGTATAACTTTGTCAGTGGAACTTAGGAGCAGGGGAATTCAGAACAGATTGTTGTCCCATGTCCTGTAGAAACAAGGCAGTGCCTACCACATGTACCACAGCAGTTGAATACCATTGAACCCTGCATTCTTAAAAAGCTTGGTTGTCTTGAATTTTAAAAGTTTTTTGTCAGTTTCAAAGACTTCTATAGGTCTGTTTTTTAAAAAAATCTATTTTACATCTGTGATGTTCTCTAGATGGAGTAAAATCAATAAAAACCTCTTAAAACCAAGGTTCCTTGCAAGGTGTGTGCCTGCACAACTCTGCCCCCCTCCATGCAGTTTTCCTCCCCCTCCACACACTGATGGCAATCATTTTCAGCCCTTTTGTTTCTGGTAATTACAGAACTGCACAATTCTACATTCTCAAAAATTAAAACCCACACTCTACAAACTAAAGCCAGATTGTGATCATTGAGACTCAAAGCTTAAGTGAAATTGGAAGTTTTAACAAGGCTGAACACAGGCCTGTATTAGCACTAGCTGAACCTTGAAGGAGAAGGGAATTCAACAACTGATGTCACTGCTCAGAAGGCCTCTTTGCAGCTGCACATTCAGGCTGAAACCCAGTAGTGTAATGTTATACTGTAAGCCTGATGATGTCATCAGCCACAGTTGTATTTCGTTAATAAAAAGTTTCCTGTCTTGTCCCCAGTATCCTGGGCTCCCTCAGGGTTCCTTTGGTCCTGAGGAAATCTTTGGGGACAGTGGGAGTCTTTAATGTCTGAAAATCATTGCCACTAATCTTGCTGGTAGCAATATTTGGACACTTAAGGCTTCCTCCATCCCAATCCTGCTGCCCTCAAAGACTTTCTAAGGACCAAAATAATCCTAAGGCAGCCAAGGAATCTTGTGGGATGGGAGCAAGGAGAAATAGGAAATTTTTAACAAACTGTAGCCACAGAAGATGACATAATCAGGCTTCTGTGGCATAACTTTATGTTACTGGATTTTATCCAGTATGTGGCTCCTAGTCATGGTATACAGAGGATGGCTTTATCATCACATCTAAATCTTTGAACAGTCGTATACAGGAAGAGGTATTGCTCAAGTAATGAGGATGAAAGTTGGTTAGGTCTTCAAATGTCATCATCAGCCTTGCAGCAGAATATCCCCATCTAATCAGTTTTATCACAGTTGAGAATGTCATATTAACATGTTCATAATTATCCAGGAATATTGCAAGGAATACCTTCTTAAGGAGTCTGTTTACAGAGGGATTCTTTTTTAAATTAACTCTCTTAAATGAAAGGCTTATTTTACATAGAGTGTACAGGGGAGACCTTGGGGGAGAGGGAACTGGAAGTGTTATATTTCTGAAAATTTGTGCAGTTGATGATGTCAGCAGCCTTATGTGGCATAACTTGAGGGACAGGATTTCTGCCAGTGACTATTGGCAAAATTCCTAAACATGCCTTAGACAGTTCTTTAACATACATGAGTAATCTTTAGATGTTGACCTTATTTGCCTTAGTTATTGACATGTATTGACCTGAGTACAGTAATTTGTAAATGAGCATTTTCATGATGCATATGGTGCCGTTTAAGCACTGTGAAATAAGAGGTAGTTTAAAACTGTTTCATCCTTGCAGATTCCAGGGAAGTGTACTAAACTAAAGTGTACCATGACTAAAGCCATTCAGTGTACATTAAAAATTTGTGTAGGGATTCCAGACATGAGATACTGCGACGTACTTTGAACAGAGCAAAATAATGCATACTTTGCTTCCAATTCTGTGTATAATAAAATGATCGTAATTACAAAATCAATCAGAGTAACAAGCAAATCTGAAAGAACAATTCTTCCCATAAACCAGCAAGTCAGCAAGTGGGGAAATGCAAACATTATGGGAGAAAAGGCAAATACATGCCAAGCAATTGAAGCTGTGGTTTGCGTAAGACCAAGACATTTCAGTCTTACAGAACAATTTTGCATCCTGTGGATAACCAGTATTTTCTGTTTAATGTTTAGATTGCCAGTGCAACTACAGCTCCATCAATCCCACCACATCTGTCTCCAGGTTTAAGGGATGTGGCACTTCGATGTTTGGAGCTTCAACCTCAGGACAGACCTGCAGCAAGGGAACTGCTGAAACACCCTGTCTTCCGCACTATGTGGTAGTTAGTAAAAGTGGGGCTACACTGAACAAGATGCTACTGAATATAGGACAGTGCTGGTCTTCCTGTGCAGTTTTGCACGTCAATATTAACTGCTCTCCTGGCCTTAATTATACATTTTGAGGACTTGAGGTCAGTAGAGGAACTATAGTTAAGTTTGTGACTGACAAATCGAGATCTTTACCTAAGCTCAGTATGCAACATTTCACAAATTGTGCAGAGATATGTAAACTGTGCCTTTCTCAAAGAACTGGCTCTTGATGAAAAGAAAAGCAATTCCTCTTTGCAATCTGCATGATTATTTAATGGAAGAAGTAATTTTTTAAAAAAAATATATTTTGGAGCACTTTTTCAGCAATATTGGCAGCTGAGGGGCTCAGGAGCCATTGAAAAACTGCAATCACTGTTCCATTTTACACACACAAATGTCAGCAGTTTGGGCTCCACAACCCAATTTAATTTCCTTTCCTCACTTTTCATAAAGAAAGTTCAATGTCTGTGCATTATGTTTTCATGAAGCTTGTTCTTTAAGTGGAGAAAGAAATGTCAGATAGTTTTAAAACCACACTTTGCCTTCTTAAGAGTCACTGACCATGGCAATTGTGGTTCATTGTGCATTTACAGCTAGTCCTGTAACTTCCCTTTAAAAGTTACAGTTTTGTGCTTTCATTATAATTTTTTGTTCCATATTCAGGGAAAATGATATTTTAAAACAGACCCAGAATAGCTAGAACTAGGTTCATGCTACATATTGCTGGATAGTTTGCTATAAGAGACTGTGATACAGATTGATTTGAAATCTGGAATAAAATGCTGCCTTTGAGTCAGTGTTTTAATGTTGGAGGGAAGAGTGCACACATGTTTTGAATTAACAGAACTTGTAATCAATCAGTGGTCAGGTGAATTGTTAGATTTTGGAATCTTTTTAAAATGTCAAAATATTCATGGTGAAACTGCAGAAAGATTTCATGCCCGCTGCCAGCTAGCTCCCATTCTAGTCAGCCTTTGATGGGAGCCAAAGCTTTAAATCCAGTCTTATTCTCCATTAGCACTGTAATCATGTTCACTGTTATTTTTACCTGCTGTTTTCCTTCTGCCATACATCATCTGTTTACAATTAACAGTTGATAACTATATAATTGGGCAATATTTTTTAAAACTAAAGGAGAAGCCTTTAATATATATATTTTAAAAAATTATGAAAAAAAGAGTGTGGACTTGAAAAAAACAACAAACTTTAGACATAATGTGAAGAAATGCTTCACTAAGTGCAAGACTACTTTTTAGCAAATGATACTGTTTCGTGCTTTTTAAGGGCAAGCTTTTAGATTCTGATGAATGGAATTTTGAAGGAAAATGGCAGTTTTGCTTTCTGGTGAGTCTTTTTGAAATAAAGTATTGATTGTGTTTAATCAACTTCTGTAAAATAACTGTTAAAGTTTTAACTCTTCGGACGCCAGTTGAATGACAAACAAGAAATTGGTTATGCTCAAACACTCAGGACAAACTAGATAAGCTATAATATTGTACATTTTTAAGAATGTACAACTCTGAAATTGGAAACAAAACAAGTGAGAGGTTTACAGCAATGATTATGCTAGCATTAGCTAAAAGCGAAGTCATTGAATGTGGATGTATATTTCTTCTTGAAATGTTACATTCCTTTGCTTTTAGAAGATTGGCAGACTTTGAAGAGTTAAAAAACGAAATGTGAAGTTTGGTAGCTCTGTTTTCGTATTTGACTTATGTTTCTTGGCAGTTTAGAATTACTCATTGTTCTAATCAGATTGTTTCCAAGTCTCTTGTGCACAAGCTTTAAAGATGCACTCTTGCCAATTCATGTACTGGAAGATCTGCTATCATATTAATGCAGTTTCTGACAAAAACATCCATTATTATAAACTGATGAACCTCAGCTAATCAGTATTACCTTTTTAGACCACAGTATGTACCACATATCAAACTCAGACTGCCTCTAGGTGTCTAAAAACATTGTTTTGTCTGCATTTCCCTCAGCTTGCTGGTAATTGTGGTTTTTTTTAAATGCAGATGTGATGTAATCTTATTTTCTTTGGATCAAAGCTGGACTGAAAATTGTATTGTGTAATTATTTTTATGTTCTTAATGTTATTTGGTACCTAAGTTGTAAATAACGTCTACTGCTGTTTATTCCAGTTTCTACTACCTCAGGTGTCCTATAGATTTTCTTCTACCAAAGTTCACTTTCACATTGAAATTATATTTGCTATGTGACTGATTCCTAAGACTTCCAGGGCTTAAGGGCTAACTTCTATTAGCACCTTACTGTGCAAGTAAATTTTAAAGATCTCTGGGTTAAGAAAATTTGGCTCCTTATATCCTTTGTTGTTTTAAATATATCAAGATATTTTAATTAAAAGTTTTTACCCCTTTGAACCAGTTTTATAGTATAATTTGTACCTATTTTGGTGGTTTTGTCTTTATAGTAAATAAAAGATTTTGGACAAAAGTTATCCTCTTTTGTGGCAGTGAACTGAGTTTAACACTTCCTGGCATTCATAAATATATTTTTCTTTAAAAAATCACTACAGACAACAAGAAAACGTATATGTGTAGTTTGAAAAATGCTTGTAAATTAATTCTTGCTTTAGGGCCCTCTGTTTATTTGTTACATCTTTTCTATTTAGAATTGGACAAACTCAAAGGATCTGTTTTGCTCACTTTTGACCCTGTTTCATATTTATTGATGACACTCTTCTATTTGTAACAGAACAGAACAAATAGCAATTTATGCCCATACTTGTCATGCTACAAAACTAAAATGCTGAGGGACAGAATTATATCTGATAAATCACCAAATAAGTATCTATGCAGAAGCTTACCAGAACATGATCACCTTAGTGATATATGATAACTGTAAATGCTTTAGTTTAGAGAGAAACTAAGAGACTAGTTTTATAAAGAGTAGATAATTCCTCTCATTATTCAGAGCTGTGTTAACACTGAATCGACTGGCATGGTGTTGTGTGTTTTTTCTCCTTTTGTAAGAGAAGATTCCCTGTCTCCATATTCAATATGATGGATTTCAACCTCTCTCTCTTAAAGGTACCTTTGGCCCCCATCCTCCTGATTTTCAGGAAGCACATTAAAACCTGGCTCTTTACCCAGGCCTTTGGAAACCTTACCTCTTTAATTTTATTTATGAGGTAATTTCATTTTGGACCTATGGTGTTGGTTTATTGTATAATGCCTGATTCAGCTGTTTTGGTTTTGTCATCTTGAGATTTATCGATGCCTGTTGGAGATGAGATTTTTAGGGTAGGTTCTTGTTTTTTGTATGCTTATTGTTTTAATTCTGTTTGTACATTTGTTACTTTTTTGTAGCCACTCACAGTAGTAGCTTATCACTACATGGGTGGGGTATAAATCCAATAAATAAATAAATACAGTAAGTAGATAAATTAAAGGGCTGATACCCAGGGAATGTTTGACATACGGTTAATTTTAAAACATACTGAAAACCATGGTGTGTTGCATGTTCTTCATGGAGGCTGGTATGGCAAAATGATTGGATAGGATATGTGTATTTGTGCTTTTTGTTTCAATTACCAGCCTCCATAAGGAATTATTCAAAGGGCACTCTAGGCTTTGCCATTAGATAAAGATGGAACTAAAATTATGTTCTGTAATAGAAGTCCACTTTAATGAGTCATTTTGATAAACTGCAAAATCTACTGTACTATACTGTAAATCTAACTTAACTCTCTTGTCACCTTAAAATGGGCAGGGAATGTGCATCTCTTCAGATATTGTTGGTCTACAATTCTCCTGCACTTGAACTAGGATGACCAGTGATGAAACATGGAAACTATAGTCCACCAATACCTGGATGGCCCCAGCCTAAATATCACTCTTGCATCAACTGTAGAGCAGTCTTCTGTAATGATTTATTGAATAATTTTTGATACTGTTTCTATAGTTAATATCTCATTTTGTGACAAAATACATTCATCAACATCCCTAATGTTTATCTAAATGTTTCATTTTGAACATTCCTGAGAGCTGGCAAATTAAAATAGGTTGCTTCTGCTTGCAAGTGACTTTGTGGCACGCAAATCATGTTGATTGGAATTGTAAGCTTTTGTTTTCAAAAAAAGAGCATACAATAGGACCCCTTTATTCATGGGATTAGTATCCACTGATTCACTTATCCATGGTCTGAAAATATTATAAATATTAAAAGAAAAAAATTCAGAAAAAAACTATTTTTACACATATTACCAGAACTGGCCACTAGAAACCATGCTATGAACACTTAGCTGTGGAGGTGAGGTTTCGTCATGGCGAGAGCAGTCGGGTTTCGGAAGAGCTCTTGACCAGGACCCCTCGGTTTCAAGGCTCCCAATGTAGGGGCCAAAAGGACGGTCCACTAGGAAAAGCAGCATCTGAAGCAGCAGAGGCGACAAAAAGGGGAGAGAAGTTGAAGCTGCTTTTTCCCCCCGAAGTCTTTTCTGAGTGCATGGACTGAGGAGGAAGCCATGTTGGGCAAAGAACTGGGAACAACCCTTGCAGAGAGTGGAGGGGTACAGAAGGATTTTGGAAAATATCCTGACCAGGACTCTTAAATAAGTCAAGATACATGTTTTATATAAAGAAGCTCTTATGGCCCTAAAACAATGACACAGAAGAAAGCTGGGTTTAACGAGTTACTGAAAGCGGATTAGATCCTACAACCCTTCAAGTCGCGGTAGAAGCGAGCCTCCCCCCATCCCTCAGCCTTGATCGGGGAAAAAGAAGAAAGAGGGAGGAGGGGAGAAAGTTATTTGGTAAATGAACTGGTTTAATCAAAGGCAAAATAGTCTAATCATGAATGGTCTAATTACAATGCTGATGAAGGAAATCAGAATCAGAAATTGAACTTTGGAACTTAAGAGTCTTAGAATGTGTAACATCATCGGATTGGAGGCACCTGTGTTTCCTTGGTTTCCTTTGGCACTGGTTCTTAACCTTGGGTTACTCAGGAGTTTTGGACTGCAACTTCCAGAAGCCTTCACCACCAACTGTGCTGGCTGGGGTTTATGGGAGTTGCAGTTCAAAAACATCCGAGTAACAAAGGTTAAGAACCACTGTCCTTTGGCACCACAGTTGAAGCAACCCTCCCTCCTGTAGCCTGAAGTAGCTGTGATTGGAGGACCTACCCCTAATTACTGAGGCTGGAGAGATAAAGGTTGAACTGCTAATCCTACTTGCCTCAAGACATTGTCTATTATTTTAAACACACATTGTTTTCACTGGTGGCTGCAAGAACATTTTGAAGAGAGAGAGGTGCTGACTAGACATGGGGATGAATAAAACATTGTGATATTTGTCAGAAATCACTGATTCGTCAAATATTCATCACTTCATATTTGTGGGTTCCAGAGACCCACACGAATATGAAGGGATGAATATTTCCCCATTTTTATTCATCCCCCATAGGAAGAGAGGGAAGGCTAGCCTTCCCTCTCTTCTTAAGGCTTTCCCATTCTGCCTGCCAACCCGCTAATCAGCTGATCAGCAAGCTGATAGGCAGCCACCCACCCCCACAACCTATCTTCTACTCTTAGCCATCACCATCCCACGCCCCATCTTCGCAAAGTGCAGCCTGGATTCCCTTAGCCTGCCTTAAGGAAGTCCAGGCTGCCCTTTGCAAAGATGGCAGCTGTTGCTTCCCTACCCTAAATGAAGCCACAGCCGCCATCTTTGCAAAGGGCAGCCAGTGTCCCTTTCTACAAACTGTGGCTGCAGAGGCCAGCTGGAGGCAGTGGCAGCAGCAACTACAGTGGGGGACATCAGGGGCGGGGGTTAGGGTTTTTTTTTAGTAACCCCCCACAAATCAACTAATAAATTTGTGCTTCGTTGGTTTGTGGTGGCAGCTTCAAGCTTTGAGTCATCAACTTTTGACGACTCACAAAGCAGGACAACTCACCAAAATGGTGAGTTGTCCCAATAAATAGTGTTGTTTGAATGAAAGGCAGGGCAGCACCACCACCTGCTGGGAAAGGACCCAGACAGCATCTTTAAAAAATTTGGAAGATGGCAGCAAAGGGAGGAAAGGAAAAGGCTACGAGAGGCTCACCTGCTCAGGAACAAAATCTGAAATTATTGGGGCAAGAGACACTTAAGGACTGGCAACAGAACATTCAAAATATTTTATCCACAGGATTACAGCAGATACAGATACAGATACAAGGAGGAATGGCTCTGCTACCTGAACAAATTAAAGATTTAGGATTGCAAATGACACCAAATTATAGAAAATAAAAAAGAAATAGCTAAAATAGGAAAAGCCTTTAAAAAAACCCCAGAAGAAATGGAGATTATGAATGCAGAGCTGGTAGTGATACAACATGAAAGAAAACAAGATGAAAACGTGCTAAAGTTACAAATGGAGAGAACCAACCTCATACTTAGATTCCAGAATCTTCCAAAACAACAAAGGTGAAGACACAGTGCAACTGGTTACTACCTTTTTGGAGATGCGACAAGAAGTACAGCAAAATATAGATACAGCATAAAGAATAAATACAGCATACACCAGGAATAATAAACTCCCCAGAGAAATTCATGTTAAATTGACGAGAATGGTATTTTGAGAAAAAATTCTAAGAAACATGCAAGATAAATGATCCACTATAAAAGGAAAAGAAATTAAGATTTTGAAACATATTCTGTGGTAAATAAGACAGAAAAGGAGACAATACACAGAGTTGAGGTATCTCCTAAGAACAAACTCAATTACATATTAGTGGTTGATACCTGAAGGTGTCTCTTTCCAATTCCAGTTGCAGACATATTCTATTAGTTCAACAATAAAGGCAGAAAACTTTATGGGAAAAAAGGGGGAAATGGCTAGGTGGGAAAAAAGAGAAAAAGACAGATGAGAAAAAGGAAGAGGAGCAATCAAGCGGATCATCAGAACCAAATTCAGAAGGAAGTTCAGAATTTCAGCTAGAAAACCAAATGGGAAGCACCAAAGGAATACCCACCATGGAAAAAGAGGCTCTAAGAGGAAAGAAAACCTTAATAACAAAGATAGATAAAATGAGCCTTCAAGAAATTCATAGGAAAAGAACTGATTAACATTAGCCGTAAAAGAATTTACAAACAAATATAGAAATTAAAATTGGACACCATCTGCCTTCAAAACTTGTAATATGAAAATCAAGAACCGCTTTATGATTTTTTTTTAAAAAGTGTCTGAAATTTAAAATACAGAAGGGTATTTTCAACCATGGTGGGTGGACAGGTAGGGAAGAAAATTTTTGGAGAGTATTAGAGATTAGGGCTGTATATGAAATGTTGAAAAAATATATTTTGTGAGATGTCATTTAAGCTGGAATTGTGTTAATTGAGTATTATGTCTGAGATTGTAGATAAAGAAATGAAACATTTGACAATACACGTAATTACTGTAGCTATAATATGGGAAACACTGGAAGAAAACAAACACGATCATCTGAAAAAGGATGCAAAAATTTGGAATGATTTTATAGCTGGGCTTGAAATACGCACTGGAAAGCATAGATAAAAGAATACGAAGGTCCAATCGGAATGGAGAGATTAGTAACTACAGTAATTTTGGTAAAACCTGTTAAATTGTTCTTTGTTGTTATTTTTTTATTCTAGTAGAATTGTATAAGTGGATGTAAAAGTACCCTCTCGCTCTCTGGAATTTTACCCTTCCCCTACCCATGTTCACTCCCCCAGCCCCCTATTCCTAATCTTATCCCTACTGAAAATGAATAAAAAATTAATTTAAAAAAAAAAACACTTAGATGTATTGCTGATAGGATTACTTACGCTGCAATCCTGCACCAATTCCCCTCAAATAAGTCCAATTAAATGCAGTCAAACTTCATTCTGTGTACAGGGTTATGCTGTTACATTTCCCTGACTGCAGTCTTCATGAGGTTTTGAGCTTGTAGTGGCACTAGTAAGTGCTCTTGAAACTGGAATGGTACTTTTGACAGGCATACACAAAAGCATCAGATAATAAAAACAAGTAATGTATAGGAAAGTAAACTGAAATACTTCTTCATCTCCAAATTGATAAACCCATGCTAAATTAATACTAAGCCTTTAAACACTGATAGGTTATTATTCCATTTACCCATCTTTAATCAGAACAAATACCAATTCCAGTCTGACTCCTTTTACCTAATAAAAGCGAACTATTTTTAATATACCCATGGTTGGGAAACAATTTTGCTTTGGAAAATACATCAGTCTCACCCAATAATTTAAAACAAATAGATTTCATTTGATACGAATATTCTAAAATAACACATTGACTTTTGATATATAAGCCCCCTCACACAGAGCTTATAAAATATTAGTTCTTATGTCTTCAGGTTTAACAACCTCCTGTGCTGGAAGCTTTATCAGCTTTATACAAATGATTAACTTCCTAAACATATTAAACAATGTGTGTGCTTTGAAATTAACATTCCTTTGAATTGTTTTTTAAAATAATATTTCTGGTAAAACGGATTCATGTCGGACTTTATTGAATGTGCTTGATAAAGTGAATTTGCTAACCATTTTAATTTGCTAAAACTATTTATATCCTCCTTTCCAATCATACGATGAGGCACACAACAGAATAAAACAGTAAATAATACAAAGTCTAAACCTGCAGCTTGAAATATTACAGCACGCTAGACATTTACACAGCAGGGGAAATAAGTATTCCTACTTGCTTCTGTTAAACCTAGACAGTGATCTTCAGTTGCAAAAGAGTCACAGCTTCACGTCTGATCCTCTTTCAGCACAAAAATAATTGGGAAAAGGCTGTGTGGTCCTAAAAATTTCAAAAACGCAGGAGCAGGTGATACTTTTATCAGACCACTAAAGATCGAACAGCAAGCTTTCCTGGGTGAAGTCCACCAAAGCTGGTATTTTGTGAATAGTGCAAATGTGCTAAATATTTGTGCATGGCCTGAACAAGTAAATGAACTTGATCCATGAAAGCTCAGGTTGATTTCTAGTGGTCTAGCTCAGTAGTTCAGCTGTCTCAGAGGCTGGGAGTTCAATTTCCCAGTGTACAGTGGGGTCTTGACTTAAGAACGGCTTCAGTTAAGAATATTTTGACTTAAGAACCACTCTCATAGGAAAATATTGACTTGACTTACATACTTAGATTTGAGTTACAAACTGAAAAAAACCACGTGGGAGGCAGGGAAAGTGCAAAATTTGAACTTTCAGTTAACTGTTGGCCAGTGAAAAGGATGCCTGTCTGCTTCCTCACTCCTCCCAGCGTTTAGAGAGTGGATTGGGAGACAGTCTTCAGACTGCCTGGTACTGCCTGGACTGTATTTTCCCTGCCTTCCCTGAACCTTTCTTGACCTAAGAAAAAAAGAAACAAAATATCCCCCTCTAGTGGTCGAAGGCGGAATAGCAGCTTCCCATTAGTTTCTATGGACGGAAAAGAGCAGATACGGATCAAATGGTTCTCAATGCATTCCTATGGAAAATGCAGATTTGACCTGAGAACTTTTTTACTTGAGAACCGCCTTCCAATACGGATTAAGTTCTCAAGTCAAGACCCCACTGTACCTTCTTGGAGAAGAGCCAGCCTTTATGGCCTTGGCAAGATGCCCCAGAAGAAGGGAATGGTAAACCACTTCTGAGTACTCTCTACTTAGAAAACCCTGGAAAGGGTCGCCATAAGTTGGAATCTATTTGATGGCACACAATTATTATTAATAATAAAGGTATCAGGTGCTCTTGCACTTGTGTCCTTTCAGCAGGGCTGCTGAAATATCTAAAATCAGGTTTGGGTAATATCTTTATTGAGCTTTTGTAAGATCCCAAAAAGGTATTACCCGATCTTGATTCTGCTCATGGACCACTGGACAGTACATTATCTTTCTCCGGTTAAAACGTGGGAGTAGTAGAGGCTGTTCAGGAGAGGGTCTCAACGCGGATAGGTAAGCGGTTTGCTCAGTACAGTACAAGCAACATATTGATAGGAATATAGGTTTTTGACATTTTAGGTCTTCACCAATTTTTCGCGGAAGTCGCGATGCTAGTCTTATTACCGCAGAGTTAGCTTTCATCTGTCAAGATCTTCTGGAACTACAGCTCCGCTTGATCAGAGGCATGAAATCTATATTCCGTATTTGCCTTTGTACATCTCTTTAAAAGGCGCTACACCCACTGATTTTTAACTCGCGGTCCACTTATACACACATCGCCTCGAAAGTGACTATTTAGTCCTACGGAGACGTATTCCCACGTGAGCTCCGGAACCGCCGCCCAAAACTGTATGTAGGGGCGAAGATGGACGCAGGGATGAAACGGAGACCGCATGGCTCCGCCCAGAAAAACCAAAGGGGATGGGGGGGGCAGGCCGGCATAACTCCGCCCACTCCCGAATCGACGTCGCCGTCCGCTCCCGAAACAGCCCCGTGTGAAATCGTAGTTGAGATTGTTTGGTTCCCCTTACTTCACATAGGCAAAATTACTCTTCGTTAATTTGGAAACTCTCTTCAAGTAATTAGTATCGCTGTTGTCAAAGAAGTTTTACTGTAGGCTTTAAGCAATCGCAATTGACAACTGCTGAGCGTTGCTCGGTAGAGATTACAAAACAACTACAGTACTACTATTCCTCACTGTCCCTAAAGGACAATTGATTCTCAAAGGGCGAATGCAGGATATATTTTGGAAATGGCTCACTTAAAGAGGGTTGCCACAAAGCAGGGGAACAACCACTCCATACTATCAGTTTTGCTGGCGGTAGATCTAAACGGGTAGTCAAACTGATATCTCAAGTCCAAGAATGTTGACGAACTTGAGAGAGAAAAAAATATGAAAATAAGGGTGGGTAGCACCCTTATTGGGCAACAAAAACTATTAGGAACGGGCCGGCTTTCGGGTCCAAAGGGATTTTTCCTCACATTCTGCCTTGCAGAACTTGAGGGAACTGGGCAGCTTCTGCAGAGCTCGCCCGCTTTCACTATTGTCGTGCTCCAGTAAAGGCACTCGTCGTCCTTGTTTTCCGCTCCGGTTGATGACGGAGGAGTGGGGCTTCCTATACCTCCCTTCGCATGGCAGCTTTATATACACGCCGCTCGGGGAGGAGCCGGGGGTGTGTGAATCCCACACGCCTTCTCCCCCTGCCATCCGGCGAGTGGCGTTTCCGTGGGAAAGCTTCGTCATGCTGCGAGCTCTGAGGAGACGCTGGGAGTCGTACAAGTACCGGTTCGTGCCGTGGATCGCGCTCAATCTCCGCCACAAGCGCAGGTGAAGGCGCTTTCCCGCCTTTTTTTTTCTTCCCGGTCTCCCCTCCCTTGGGCGTGGAATGATCAAATAGGGCGCCATTTAGCGAGAGGAAGGAAAGACACAACGGGCTGCAAATCGAGAAAGGGGCTGGCTGGTTATCCCCTTCCTCACTTGTGCCGATGGTCACAGTTACTGAGAGCTTCAAGACCGGACGGCGCCAGCATCAGGGCAGCTCGCAGGAGCGTGGTCGGTTTACGTGTCAGCTGTTGGATCTGCGCTGGAGCGCAGGGAAATTCTCCTCAGAGGGTGGCCTGAGGGTCGTATCTGAGGCCGCGGGGTCGCGCCTGTGGAAGCCTTCCCCCGTCAGCCCGGAGACAAACCAGCCAGATGGAATCCCGATAATACTATGTAATGGGGAACCACAGGATAGTCACATTACAAAAATAAAGTGAGCACTTTGAGCATATTGAGGGGATTCAGTATATAAGTGTGACAGCATAAGATTTCAACTATGGTATATAAGGCAACATTCAAACGGCAGCTTTATCTTAACTACTTTTTCAAAAATATGATGTGATAGGCTGACATCCAGTAATTTGAGTTGATTTGATAAACCTTACTTTGTCAAGATTTTGTTTTCTGTGTAAGGTTAAACATTTGTATTTAGTAGCTGTTTGCTTTATGTAAATTGTTTTGTTTCGCAGTTTCAAGAACCAGTATGGATTATGGCATTGCCTTTTCAGAAACCGTATAAAATAGCTTATCAAGGGGACTCAATTAAAGTGAGGAATGAAGTATTTGTGAATACATTCTATAGGGTGGATGAGTTCTAATAGATTTCCTTCCAATGCCTACAATAATAAACAGATGCCTGGAGTGACTATGTTTCAATTGATTCCAAGTTCTCTGGGGGAACTAATAAATATCTCAAGCTAGATACTTGTGACTTAATGATCTCAGCACTGTTCTTCTAATGAATCACAGCCTTATACTGTATTTAAAAAAGAGTCTCGTGGTGCAGTGGTTAAACCAGTGTACTGCAGCCTAAACTGTGCTCAGGACCTGGGGTTCAATCCCAGGTAGTCGGCTCAAGGTTGACTCAGCCTTCTGTCCTTCCAAGGTGCTGGGGAGGCAACGTGTAGCCTGCATAATTAACTTGTAAACCACCCAGAGAGTGCTTGAAGCACTATTGGGCGGTATATAAGCAGCACACTTTGCTTTATATTCTTTCAGAGATCCTTTATTCTTGGTTAGTATGTTTATGCTAGTTGTCTTAATTTACATGAGATTTTTCTGTTTTATGGAAAAAAATCCAGTGATGACTCATTACAGAAATAAATTTGGTCTGTGTTTGTTCTTTTAAAAAACTTGGATGCATTTTCTTCATCCTGCTCTCAGTATTAAGCAAACAATGTCATATACAAACACATTACCTTTCCTCTTCCATTTGTTTCAGCAAGAATGATTCTCTGTTGTTACTTTCCTTAGACAAATAAGATCTTAGGTGAAAGGCGAGCAGTGACAGTAGAATGTCTGGTCTTCCAGATGTTGTTGGACTACAGCTTCCATTAACCATCACCATCAGTTGTGCTAACTAGGATGGATGGGAGTTGCAGTCCGGCATTCTGATGGGTCATCCCTACTTTGGTAATGTGTAGGAAGGAATGCCGGGATGAGCAAACCGAATTGAAAATACACATTCAAAAAACACAATGGCTGTGCTTTTAAGATTACATTCCTGTTCACCTTTTAAATAAAACTCTTACTGCAAAGCTATTCAAGCTGCATTTGTTGTGTGCACCACTCCCATTTATGCAACTCTGTCCGAGTTCCAGTGCCTTTTTTTTCTTGTTGCAGAACTTTGCGGTTTGTATCAGAAGAATCTAAAGACAAGACAGTTTCTGATGAAGATGTCCTTCAAACACTACTGAAAACATTTAGAGCATTATTTGTAAACAACTTGAACAGACAAACACTCCTTCTGAATTTTCTTCCAGAGATTAAATCAAAATATCCAGAACTGCAATCAGATCAGTGTGAAATAGCCAAAGCAATGAATGACAAGCAGCAGAGACATATCCTTAATCCTGAAGAAGTTCTGTTCAACACACTGGGATTCAGTATTACTCGAAGGCACAGTTCATTGGTTTCTGCTGGCACAGGAGTCTTTGTATCCAAAGGTTTTGTTCCAAAAGGAACAGTTGTGTCTATGTATCCTGGTATGGAATGTACACAGTAGCTTTAAGCTGAATCAAACTGTTGATGCATCTAGTTCAATGTCAATAACTGAGAGAAACGTTTGAGGGGCTTTCATAACTCTAATTCTTTGAGATGGCAGAAATTTAAACTTCTATATATAAAGTGTGTTTTCTGCCATTGACCTCGCTTTCATTAAGATGAGCCTTAAATTTGTTCTGATGGACAGTTCGAGTGGGGGAACTAGATTTCCTGTCTTTCCAAGGGGTCCCTAGCCAAAGCAACAAGTCAACAGGAATCCAACTTCATTTCTTCTCCCTCAGAGCTAACCTGTTGTTTCCATGACTGGAAGTTGGTTGGCTTCAGTGAAAAATGGAATTCCATCTATGTCTGGTCAATGGTTAGAGTTGATGGAGACGTCTCTCCTTTCTCTGTTTGCTGGGATGGGACTGGGTTTAAAGAAGGGAGTAGGTAAGGAGAAGAGGACTTCTTGTGACCACTATAGACCAAGGGGTGCCTTAGCTTTGACACTTTTCCAGACTTATTTGTTTAAGTCATCCAAGGGGTTGGCACTATTTTCCTGACAGGAACCCTGTGCCATTTATTATTTTTCCCTGTATCAAGAAAACATTGAGCAAGAGGAAACTTTTTCTTTTCACTGCACTTCCATGCTGGAAAAAAACTACACTTTTTGAATGCAGCCACTGAAATAAATGCTCAAGAGCACTGTCATGGGGGGGGGGGAGTGGAACCCATCTGCCTTCCAGAGGTTATCGCTCATTTGTAGAGGATCTAGTGTGTACTGAGCCATGTAGGGATCTGTTTTAAAATTGTTGGTCAGCCATGAAGCTACTGGGTGACCTTGATCCAATTGCTAATATTCAGCCAAACTTACTGTATCTCACTGGTCTGTTGTGATGAAAGCTTGGAATAGCCCCCATTCATGCTATCATAAGCTCCTTGGAGAAACATGGGATACCTAGGTTGTAATAACAAAAGCTAAATGTGTAGATACATGTAACTGATACTACTCAAAGCAATGGCAAGAATTTCACACACACATACCAATACTGAAAACTTTAAAAAATGACATTGATCCTGTAAACACAGATGGCTATGTTTTTCCAAATGCTTGCTTTGAAATAATTGACTATTTTTATATCAGGGAAAAGCAGCTTGTTGATTACAGTGATTTGTATGGAATGAAATGCATCCATTCATTATATTCATTGGGTGTCTATCTGTTTGCTGATAGTGCATAGTTAATAAGAATCCTGTCCTAAAATAGATGCTCTTGTCTTAAACAGGTACAATCTATGAAAAGTATGAGCCTATATTGTTTCAATCCATTGGCAATCCATTTATATTTAGATGTGCAGATGGGGTTCTTATTGATGGAAATGACAAGGGAATATCAAAGGCCATATATAGGTAGGTATGTGATAGAAAAATGCCAGTCTAGCCATTTAATATTTGCAAAATCCACTCATAGTCTCAAATGCTGCTGTGTGGGGCAGTTTGCAACAGCAGTGAGATCACTGGCAATGATTGCCACCAATTAAAGGCTTCTTATTGTGGTTTCGTGGTGTGCAAGGCTCATACAATGTGGTGAAGTAATGTGCATCTTCAAAATCACAAAAGGACCCCTTTAGTCATCACCAGTGTGTTGCTGTTCATGATGCCATTCCTGTTTTGCATGTAGAGGCTGCATCTGAATCCAACTAAATTAAGCCATTCAGTGTTGGGTTTTGATATGGAATAAAATATTTGCTACAGATCTATGGCTAGCTTTCTGCTTTCTACCTGGTTTGTGGTGTCATAATTTATTTAAGTAGTAGGGGGTAACTAGAACTTACTTTGTGCACTTACACAGCTTTGGCATTGAGGAAGTCCTGATTTTCTTTTGTATTTCTCACTGGCGTAATGTTGGTTACCAAACTTGGATTCTCCATATCCTCAACCAGCATGGTCAGTGATCTGGGATTCTCTGAATTTTCAGCCAGCATCATTTGGGGCCCAAATTGGGATCTTTTGCATAGAAATATTTAAGAGAGGTTGATGCTGACAATGTGAGAGGAATAGAAAACTATTTCACAAAGTCTGACAGCAGTTTTGACATTGAATATTCTAATGTTTAATTTTAAAATTCATGTTTAATTTGGTACTTAGAAATGTGGGAGTTCTGTCTACACAGTTAAGCTACAACAATTGTAAAGAATGCTTAGGTTGGGGCATACTAAATTGAATAGATAGACTACTGATAGGCTTTTTGCAGCCAGTTTCATGCTTGAGCTCCACAACTTCAAAAGTATAACAGGTGCATGGTTTTGTCAGCAATTCACTTTTTAACCTTGTTCTTCAACCAAGAAGCTTTCCACGATGGCTTGTATGATTATGAATAACGAACAAGATTGGCCTACCCTTGGATTTATAATCTAAAAGAAGCAACACAAAGGAAAAATATGAGGAAAGAGGAAAATAATTATTTCAGTTATCAGTTTTTAAAGTTGCAAAGTTCTTATAAGCTTGAATGAAAGCAGGAAGGAGATCCTAAACAAAATTGATGTCTAAATTAAGTTGATGCAATGAGACCTACATGCCAGTGTTTTTCTGGAATCTCGGCTTCTAAACAACAGCTGAATAAGGCACACTGATTTGTAGTTTGAATGTTTTCTGTTTTAAGTCTGAGATCACCAGTATGCCTACAAATACCCTCTTGGCACTGGCCATGGTCTCCTAATCTATTAAATTAAAAATAAAATAATTACAGCAGAAAGAAAGAAAAGAGAAAAAGGAAAAGAAATTAATGGGTGTGGCGTTCACCCTTGTGGCCTTTGCTTGACTTTCCCTCACAGAGGCTCACGTCACGTTTTCTTCTCGCTGCCACCGGTGGATTACCTCAATCCACAATATAAATGACATTTATCTGAACACTTGATTTGTGAACAGAAACAGAACTTATTTACTTATTTACTGTGCCTCATGGCGCAGTGATTAAATTGCTGTGCTGCAGCCAAAACTGTGCTCACGACCTGGGGTTCAATCCCAGGTAGCCGGCTCAAGGTTGACTCAGCCTTCTATCCTCCCGAGGTTGGTAAAATGAGTACCCAGCTTGCTGGGGGGGGGTCAATGTGTAACCTGCATAATTAACTTGTAAACCACCCATAGAGTGCTTGAAGCGCTATGGGGCAGTATATAAGCAGCACACTTTGCTTTTGATCTTGCTTTATTTATTCAAGTGAAGCAGATTGAATAATAACAGAGGTTTCTGAGATACATATTTTACATAAGCAAATCATCAACAGTCCTCTCAGTACATGCTTCTTTTCTCTTGCTATATCATTACCTCCTTCTCTCCCTGTTTTCCTAACCAGCTCTATCTCTCTCAGTATCTGTTCCCTCTCTCTCTGACTAACCAGCCCTATCTGACTCCTCCCGCCATGCCTCACGTAGCTGCTGACTCCGCCTCTCCAGTCCTCTCATAGGTTCATGCAAATCAGCTCATGAAACTGAATGGCATGAGTGACGAGGGCAATCGTCACATTGAGCAGCTGAGAAACAAGATGCCACCACCATCATCATCCCCTTTCCCAGAATATGCAAGAATATGAATCTGGGGACATTCTTTGAAAATGAAGGTGGTAGTAAGCTGCAAGCCAGGTGTTTCACTTTGCAGCATAGTGGTTCTGCCATCTTGCTAAAACATGCTATGTTATTCCCCCTGCCAAAAAAAAAAAAAAGAGAAAGCATCCCCTACTGCTGTCTTCCTATTATATTTGGGAGAGGCAATAGGATACACTAGGAGTTGTTAGAGACTGCTTAAGTTACCCAAGGTAATTTGGTCTGGAGACTGATGCAGACCAAAATGGAGGAGTGAGACATGGACTGCAGCGGAGCCCACAGTGGGTTGAAGATGGCTGTCAAGGGGAGGCAGAGAAGGGAGGAATACATATGTGTTCTTGTGAATGGATGAGGATGTGTCAGGTCCATTTTATGGAAGCTGGATGTGCTCTGTTTGGTTTAGCATACCATGAATTCTGTAGATGCTGCCCCGTTGAGCACTTGTGAGCATTGAACAGTATTCTTGAGTGTTGAATGATATAATCTCAATGAATGAATTTAATTTGGAGGGAGGTGCATTTGTTTAGGTTTGTTCTGAAGAGGTATATGTGGTTGCTCAAAAAACTATAAAGATAAGCATATATATTCCAAGTTAACCCTGCAATTTCTTTCAGGTCATGTAGCAAAAGAGATCAATTTGGTCCTTTAAAAATTAGTGATGTTTTTTGGCTTACCAGTGATACACAGAATCCACTGGCAGTTGGACAATATGTCAACAATTGCTCAAGAGGTAAGTGCGAATAGGATTCTGCCACCCCCAGTAGATTTGGCTGTTGAACTCTCCATTAATGCAACATGTGGAAGTGTGAATTTTGACTAGGGATATGCCATTAGGGTTTTTTTTTGGATGCCAATTCCTGGAATTCTCCACAAATTCCCTGGGCAGAATTCTGGGAGTTCCAAGCCATAGACACATTCCCTTCACTCACCTACACCAGGGTCTTGTCTTAAAGGCTGGATGGCATTCTCAGTCCTACTTCCTGTTGTTAATATTCCTGAAAGTAAAATGCCATAGTTCTTCCTGGGCATCTATTTCTTTGGGAAGCACCTTTTATGGAGTCTAAAGGACAGTGCGACTACAACACCTAGGAAACATGGTGGCAGCTTCATATTTGAAACAACAGGAAGTAGGTATAAGACAAGGCCGTCCAGCCTCCAAGAAGGCCTTGCTGCAGGTGAGCAAAATGTAGGCGTTTGTGGATATCTGTAATTGTAGATCTATGGTCTAGCACTCCCAGAAGTCTAGATGGGGAATGTGTGGAGAATTGAGACTTGGGAGTCCAAAAAATCTAAATGACACATTCCTACTTCTAATCTAATGCAAACTACGGTATGTTACTTTGATTTGTAGCTTCAGATTCTCTATTAGGGCCCTTTTTTATTCATTTATGATTTTGTCAGGCTAGCCATTAATTCCTTTCCATAGCTACATCCAATATATTCAAAGAATGTTAATATATCTCTTATTAAGCTGGTGAACAATTGCCACGGGTGACGATTTCTTTGAATAAATCTAAGAGGCATATTAATACTGGAGCAACTTAATGCATTTCATTTTAAAATAATTTTTCCTTTCCCCTTTTCCATTAGACAAAGCAGCCAATGTATGCTACCAGGAATTTGATGTCCCCAAATGTTTTCCTATTGAATTTATGCAGTATCTTCCAAACACAAAATACAGCCATGAAGTACAGAGGTGAGCACTTTAGTAAGATGTTGCTGGGCCTGATACTGAAATCATTAATTATTGTCAAATAAATTATGGATTTTTGTTCAGAACTGTAATAAAGAAAAACTGACTCACATTGTACAAGTACAAACATATGTACATAACAACTCCGGATTTTTCCCATTCAATATATAATTTACAGGCCCCTGAGATGTGTAGTTCTGGTTGCTCTCCAAAACATTGGGCCTGGTGAAGAACTTTTCTCAAACTACTACACGATTATCTTCTGAGTACAAGAAACCATTTGACAGTCTTGGACTTCTATAGTATTTTTACCAAATGGACATGTGGTTGAGCAGACGAATCATTGGTGCATCTCTAACTACCGGATATGAAATTAACATATGGTTTGACAAAGAGGACCTTGCAATTTGATCTGCTGCTGCTGGCTTGTGTGTTGGATTGCTTGCAACCATAACTTCATCTTCCTATACAGCAAGTTGCTGCTATGTCTAAGGGCTGGCTTTTCTGTTTTGACCCCATACAGTACTGAAGGCATATTGTTAAACTTGTGAAATGCTTTGTCAGCTTAAATAGTTTACATTTGAAACTATGTAAATCACTGGCATGTTCTGGATATATGTCCACACAACACAGGCAAAAACCCATTGGGGTGATCTGCATATAGCCAATGAGATTGCATGCATAATAGGTGTAGGTTATAAATGCATCAGAAATATTCCCATATTGTTGGAGTTGGTTTCTCCAACTCAAGGACTGAGGCTTCTATACAGAAAGAAAGACTATGTTATATGAGCATACTGTATGGAAACATTATGGTGTCATTTGTAATGTCAGTTGAGCAGTGAGTTTTAATTAGTTTATTAAATAACTAGTGCTTAGTTAACTGGTAGAATAGCATGTTTTGAGGATCTTGAGACTTTTAGTTAAGAGGAAGTGAGCACAAAAGTGTTACAACAGCCTTTTCTTCTGGAAATAAGGAAACAAAAAAATGCTAGTTTTTTGGTGCACTTGCCAGTTATCTTAAAAATAGGTGTGTTTAAAATTTCTACACATCAGATAATTTTAAAAACATATAAATGATGAAAATAATATAAACATTTTTTTTCAAAAGTGTAGCTGTATTGCCCTGCAATCCAAACACAAAGATAAGCCAGTTGTACCAGGTATGGGATGAGCAGAAGTCTCTTGTGCCTGCACAATTGTCTGTGTGTCAGGACAACTGAACCCGTTGGTATAATTGCTGTGCTGGCTGAGATCAATAGGCAGAGAAGCCAGAAAGGGGGCAGAGAAGAAGAGCAACTGGGGAGGAACCAGGTAATACCAAATCTAGCACACAGCCACTATGCTGGGTTAAAGTGAGGCCAAGGTCCAGAATTCCTAGGCTTAAAGGAGTTTGAATGCAACACCGCCTCAGCTAGCTTCATATCAAATTAGCCAGCCCTTAGTCATCTTGGGAAGTTAAGATCGTACCTTTCATATATTTCAACGTGCATAACTGAAACAAAAGGCCCCTTTACCAGACTTAGTTTTCTGCACTTTGTATGTTCATTATCAGTGTTAATAATGCATTTGTCATTTTCTGTATCCCATTTCACTTTGATTCCTCCCCCATAGCCATATATACTGTGTATATACCGTAAAACTGTGACCTAAATACTATAGTTCGTGTGTCTCAGGAACTGCATTCTGATTCACAAAACCTCACACTGAACTAGATTTTGTCTTAATAGAGCTCCCACACTTGATGTTTTGTTTTTTATTATATCGTTAACAGGGAACTGATTGATCATTTAGCATTATTCCACTATTTGACAGCCTTCCCTTTTAGCAGTTAGGTATGCTGCAATCACGCTGGCCACATAACCATGGAAACTGTCTTTGGACAAACGCTGGCTCTATGGCTTGGAAACGGGGATGACCATCGCACCCTAAAGTCGGACATGACTGGACTAAATGTCAAGGGGAACATTTGCCTTTATGCTGCAATACTTCAATTGCAAAAATAGTTATCCCTGCACTGTTAAGAAAAAATTGAAGAAAAAACTAGAGGGCTGAGCAAGTCCGCACATGTTGTCCATATCTACCACAGTCAGTTTTCATTTGCAGCTACTAATGTTACAGGATAAGCTACATGACATTGCAGTCTTAACTGTGCAGATTGTTTTTCAAAAATTTGCAATTTTTTCTCTTAAATTCACTTTCCCATTCTGTGACATCTTAAATTGCTTCAGAGACACCTAACTTTGACAATTTTCAAGTGCAGAAAATTCCCAGAGACAACTGATCCAAATCGCCAGCACTTTAAAACTACAGTGGTGCCTCGCACAACGATTGCTTCATACAACGATGAATTCACACAGCGATGGTTTTTTCTGAGGAATTTCCCCCATCGTTTAACGATGTTCTCTATGGGGGAATTTCACTTAACGATGTCCCTTTTTGCTCATTTAAAAGTGTCTTAAAATGTTCGAAACCTGTTTTAAATGCTTGGATTCCATAGTGCACCTTGTGAAACATGTGCAAACAATTTTCTCTCATTGGAATGTATTGAACTTTCCGTCCAATGCCTTCCAATGAGAGAAAATTCAAAAAATCACTAAAAATTAAGGACGACTCAGAACAACATCAAATTAAGTTTGCATAGGGTTCAGGGGGTGGGCTAACGATTGCAAGCATTTAAAACCTGTTCCAAACATTGTAAGACACTTAAAAATGAGTGAAAAGGGACATCGGAAAAGACTTCAAAAGCACTGAAGCCGGCTTCATTGCTTTTGAAGCTCTTCCGTTTTCGCTCATTTTTAAGGGTCTTACAATGTTTGGAACAGGTTTTATATGCTTGCAATCGTTAGCCCACCTCCTGAACCCTATGCAAACTTAATTTGGTGTTGTTCTGAGTTGTCCTTAATTTTGGTGATTTTTTGAATTTTCTCTCATTGGAATGCATTGGACGGAAAGTTCAATACATTCCAATGAGAGAAAATTCAAAAAATCACTAAAAATTAAGGACGACTCAGAACAACATCAAATTAAGTTTGCATAGGGTTCAGGAGGTGGGCTAACGATTCCAACCATTTAAAACTTGTTCCAAACACTGTAAGGCACTTTTACAGGAGCGAAAAAGGACTTCGCAAAGCCATTCAAATGTATTGAGTCGGCTTCAATACATTCCAATGGAGGAAACATTGTTTCACTCAACGATGTTTCCTATGGGTTTTTTCACTTAAAGACGGCAATCTGTTCCAATTGGAACGGATTAACCGGTTTTCAATTCATTCCTATGGGAAATGGTGTTTCACAGAACGATGTTTCACACAACGTTGATTTTTTTGGAACCAATTAACATCGTTGTGTGAGGCACCACTGTATTTAACTTCTTAGACTTTTTATATAACGAGTCTTACTCCAGTAATATAGTACTAGACATCTTTCTATGAAATTTACTTGAATATAACTGTACATAATTGAGTATGAGATAACAGCAATGGTACATGACAATATCAGTTAGTAAGACTTACCTGATGTCTTACAGTGTCCCACGCTATACAATCTATCAAAACTATACAATCTACCAAAGCTGTTGAAAAAAACACATTGCATTGTCATATGATATCATTGTCATTTTATAATTATAGCAGAAATACTTATTTTCCTTTTTGAAAGAGAAAAATGCCTAAACTGAGATGGGTGTAAGAAAGTTTGTAACAGATTTTAATTTTTTTTACTTCTGTTATTGATCAATCAAGACCATGAAACAGGATAAAATTAAAGAAACCAAGTTGTTCAAGACAACCTAGTCAGGTTCATAGCTACATACATAGCCTGAGATGTCAATCTGGAAGATCATCTATTTAACAGAAAGTATGGGCTCTGTTCACTTTACCCACATTTCTAACAGGAAACGTTATTCACTTATTAGGGTTGGTGTATAAAAGTATTTAATTCTTGCTCATAAGTCTTGAAGGTCTACAGATACTTCAGACAGATAACTAAACATATTGTGCAGCTTTTTCAGCATTCCTCATTAACAGATTATCTCTGGAAAGAAAAAGAAAGATGGAAGAAATAGGAAAACATCAGATCTTACAAATGGAAGGTGACATCTCTAGACTCCTGGTAAAATGCTGTGAATGAGGGCAGGTGATTATACAGTATATTAAAAGCTTCCACAGGAAACACTGTAAAAATATTAGAATAACAATGTTTCAGAGGCATGAAAACTGTCACAGGAGGAAAAAAGATTTCCAGACATTTATTTCTGGAACTGTACACCAGGTATTAAAGTACAACAAATACAAAATAATGTTCAAAAAAATCAGTGTTTATGTACAAATATTAAAACCAATGCAACAATAGCAACTTCATCTTGGGCATCAGATACTAAAATGTTGCGATTGTCACTAATTTATGTTATTATGCACAGGGGATACCAACCTGTATATAGGAATGACTGGTATTACTAGTTGTTTCCTCAACTGTTGTTAAACAATAACTGGAAAGTTGTCCCACACTCATGGAAAAATCATAGCCATGATACTGTGTAAATTAAGTTCCAATTTATAGACAATGTGCTTATAACACTGGGCAAACAGTCTTCTAATGGTCAGTTTATCCACTAGTTTACATTCAGTCTTGAAATATCCACTAAAGACTTTGGTTAAATTAAAGAGTATCATTAATACACTACCGGATCTGAAATTAACATATGGTTTGACTCAGTTTTAAAAGAAAAACTGCACAAATTAACCTACTTGTACACAATGTAGTATACTTCAGACAGTATTGTACAGCCTTCAAGTAAAGTCAACAATTTGACCATAACAAGAAGAAAAATAAACACTTAAAAAGCTATCAATGAGAGGATGGCTAACAGAAGTCAAAGTATTGCTCTAAGCACAGCACCAGTTACACTTCTAAGTGAATCAGCTATTCTTTTCAGAGTCCCTGTAGTTAAGTGATACACCTACCAAACTGTAATTGCCCATGATGGATTTTTGGTTTGTTTTTATGAAGGGGGAGGGAGCGGGAAAATACACTCAGCAATGAATGAAGTTATCACAGTTTGTTAGAAGAATTGTGCTTTAAACATTAAGAATCAATTTTCATATGGTTGCAATTCTGCCACCATAGTGATCCTCAAACACAATCCTTTTAATAAACAGTAGCAATTTCTGCATTAAAATGTTTAAAATAGAGGAAAAACAGGTTAAGTCCAGCTTTTAAAAGAAAAATTCAATAAATAGCTATTTTACATGAATAAAGTCATAGTGGTACAAATTTATGAATGTCACATCAAGCATGCACAAAATGTTACTATACACAGAAGTAGTCAGAAAATATTGAAATAGATATCTAAAAAGATATGCAGAATGTACATATTTACATAATCTTGCAAATTATTGCCTCATTTTAACAACGAATTTAAAGTAAACATTACCAGCTAGCTAGCCCACAGGCTAAATTAGATCAGCAATTAAAAATCTATTAAAACTAGCCAGAATTCATTGTTCTCTCATACCATATTCAGAATTTTGGTCAAAAGTCTTTATTAAATAACTAAAGTGTCCATTCAACTTGCTGACAATCAAAACTTTTAGACAAGAAACTAGACTGTCTCAGTCTTCATTAAGACTCCAGCAATGCATAGATAAACTGAACATAGTACTGCATCTGCTAAATGAGAATGGATGTGTGTTCATATAAGTGCAACTGGTATATGCATTCACACATTTGTGAAATGGTTTTCTTTTTATACAGACCAGCCACTGTAAACCCATAAACCTGAATGTATAACCCGGGGGGGGGTATGGCCAGTATTTTACAAAATTATATAAGATGTGTTTATCCAAAAACAAAAAAAGGAAACAAAATACAGAGTTCAGCACAAATCACAGCAACAAGAAGCTGACAATTTGGCTAAAAGTGTCAGAACATGACACGGCCAAGGCTACCCATTACTGACTGTGTACTTATCAGAATTATCTATTTTAGAGGCATAATTTGGAACAGATCACCAATAACATTTGTCCACTGTGCTAAATCAAGTTGATAAAACGTTAGATGTGCTAATGTGTAGAACCTTTCAATGCCATCTTAAGTTACAATGCAGTGAAAAGCACACAGCACTAGGCTGCATCTCTAAACTCAGGATGTCAATGCAGTTCACAGTATACTGAATAAATACCCTCCCTTTGAAGTGTTAACTAAGGCATTTGCTTCCTATTTATGCAGTGCAACCATGAAATCATTAATACTAACACTGAAACAAAATTTTTTAAAAATTGCAGTATAGTTAAAAGAATTTAAATATAAATAGTGCCAAGTTCAAAACTGCATTTCAGTTGTATTATGAGAAAGGTCAATATTTTTGTAGAAATATGTGTCACTCAGCACACATAATTGATAACTTTCACTTAATAACCGATGGCCAAAGCTCTAACGGCTTTTCACAAATCTGATTTCATGAAAGGTATAAAAAAACACAGTAACATAAAAACATACCTATCAAAGTTTCCTCTCTGGAATATAAAATGCACTTGAGCCTTTATCAATCCAAGAAGGAAATGAATGAATTATAAGCTTCAAGGTTTTACTGCATCATCACAATCTACAAACCTACCATCCCTCATAACTTTAACATTTTGAACTGCAGTTCTCTGAACTTAAGGCAAATCCTCAGATGTAAATCATTAGTGGTAAGTCCTAAACTGTGCAGAATGTACCATCATCTGTCAGCAGCCTTAGGAAAAGTGACATAACATTTGATGTTGTTTTTCACATTATATTCCTTAGAATGTGGACAACCCACCACTAACTCCTAAACAATATGCGCATCATTTGAGCCAATAGGTTTAAGTACACAAAAATCATCAGAAAGCATAACCATCTCTGTGTAAGGTAGCCATGGCCTGTAATTTGGTAAGAGCATCCAAGTGTGTCTTCAGACTGTGCTCCTACAGTTTCTTGTGCTAGCATCCATCAAGATGAACCTGTTGTTTTGTAAACTGAAGTGCTCTGGTTTAATTTTGGATGAGAGAAAGTTCCATTTAAAAATATCCTTATATGTTTGTGCAGTTTAAATTAAAGAAACCTTTCCCTGCTTTTTTAAAATGCTACATTGAGCAGGAATCAGGACTGGTACCTGTAAACAATCGTTATTCCACTGCATCCATTAGATCAGAAGCAACTTAAGACTACAAAGCCACTCCAATCAGTTCAAAACTTCTGTGCTGGTTTTGAGACAGCAGTCTCTGTCTACAGGTTTAAAAAGAAATAGAAAGCAGAGCTTAAAGCTGCACCACAGAGTTCTCTTAGTCCTCAAACTCTGCTAAACATCATATGAAGTTTCCACATTTATGGATTGGAAAAAGTGAAAATACTCTTGATAAATCAAGATATAGTTCTGTACATAAAGACATCACTGATGTCATAGTTCAAACTTCCAGTGAAAGACTAAGCAAACCTGATCATTCCTATCAAGTTTACCATGAACTGTCAATAGGGTCCACCATTTGTTCGATTGGCTGCCATATTCATTCTGAGTGAAGCGCAGTATGCTGGTGTAATGCATGGGCACTGATGAAGCCATTTGTCTCATTTGCAGATAAACTGCTGAAGTCGGCCACTGAGACTGCCATTTTGGCACTTGTAATGTGATGTGTGTGATTCTCAAAATCAACACCCAAGTTATTTACAGAGACGTCATTCATGAAGGATTCTGGGACTGTGATTCCCATTTTTAATCTCTTGGCAGGCCTTTCAGACTCCTCGGTGCACATGTTCATTGGGTTTAACTCTGAGTGATAAAATCCAGTCTCAAATAAATTAAAACAATCACTTTCGCCATTACTAGGCAAGTTAAGCAAATCTTCTGTTACAACAGGCACATGATTAACTGCTGTTCGGGGCAAGCTGTCCAGAGGTGGGAAGGCATCATCTAAGCAGTTCACATCTGTAGAGTGGCAGACTGTTGCTACGCTGTTGGTGAGTGCTGAAAGACAGAAAAATATTTTACTCTAATTTTCACCACTGTCCTACACAAGTGGCAAGCTTTTCCATACCACATTTCTTATTTTCTTCAACTCACCTGTTAAATCATTGGCAGTGATAGAGTTCAGGATGCTTAGCTGTTGATCAGGAATAGGCTCTGCTCTGCTGTTTGCTGTTATGGCTGAAGTATGTACGGCTCCACCAAGAGCTTCTGCTTCATCTACCAATCGATCCATATAGTCCCTGTGAGAGCACAATCACTGGAACATTATTTAACTGGCGGTAACTGAAAGACATGTCTTCAGAATATAATCACAGAAATGTTATAAAATTGTTGATGAGAATTTCAAGAAAAGAGATTACCAAGAGAAGAAAAAAGAGAAATTGTCCAAAGTCCTAGAACTTACGTGACTCCAGGATGGTGGTTGTACTTCTTTTTTCCAAATCTTGTTTGCTGAGCAAAGTAATCATACCGTTCTGATTTCTTCCACATATAATAAAATGCTACACATTCAGCAACTGATCTGGTTCTCACCTAAAAAGAAAAATTAACACATTAAAGCCTTCACAGTATTTGTTCTAATGGCTCCTTACTGAAAAAGGACAAGCAATGAAATACTAGAAGCCTTTGAATTGTTTTGCAGATTTATATGAGCTCCAGCTCAGTTGTCAGTACAAAAGATAGAGTGGAAAGAGTATCTGACATGGTACATTTCCATACAATTGGATGTCACTTGCCATATCCAAAGGAAATGTTTATTTTCTTTTCCAAGAAGCTACTTTGGTGGCTACTGATGCAAGAAACCACTTTGGTGGCTACTGATGAGACAGTCTACTTCCAAAATGACCAAATACACAGTATAGCCTGTTCATGCATTCATGAATTCTGTCCATATAGGCCTGTGCAACTCCATGCTTCCTAATCCATCTCCCAATCTCCTTTCACTGAACAGGAAAATCTGACAAGAAGTGGTAACCACATCCAGTTGAATGTGGTTGCTATATTCTGATTCCACAGGGTTCTCCACTGTGCAGATGTCCCTTCACACCTTGCACAATGTTACCAGATTGGGGGTTAAGTGGTTAGGAGCAATGCACATGACCCAACATCCCCTTCATAGATACAATTTCTGAATGCCCAGATTAGGCTAATTTCTCTGACGTCAAAGGCAGCTGCTATATATTTGGGAACTGCATGAAAAATTAACTAATAAATTGGATCTGAAAGGAAAAACTCTAAATGATTGCGCATTTTATTCCTTTATTTTTTAAAAAAGAACACTGTCAAAAGGAGAAGTTATAGCACTTAGTAAGGATATAATGGACAAACTAATTCTAATCCCAATTTTAATACCCTAATTTGTACTGCTGCATAACACAGTGGTGCCTCGCTCTACGATTGTCCCACCTTACGACGAAACCGCATTACGACGATCTTTTTGCGATCGCAAAACGATGGTCTGAATGGTTTTTTTTCACTTTGTGATGATCGGTTCCCTACTTCGGGAACCGATTCTTCGCAAAATGACGATTTTCCTCCAGCTGATCGGCAGTCTCAAAATGGCTGCTGGGTAAATAAAATTGCTCCCCGCTGTTTTCTGGGATGGATTCCTCACTGCACAGGCACCAAAAATGGCCGCCCTATGGCGGATCTTCGCTGGACTGTGAGTTTCCAGCCCACTGGAACGCATTAAACGGGTTTTAATCCGTTTCGATGGGCTTTTTATTTTTGCATCACAACATTTTCATTCTACAGCGATTTCGCTGGAACGAATTAACGTCATAATGCGAGGCACCACTGTATTCTTTTATAAAATTGGTAAATAAATGACAGTCTACTCTAGGTTAACTTTCAGAAGTACCTTGACTGCTTTAGACTTGGAATTAAGGCATTACATAGATTAACTGTAGCAACTTGCTTGAAGGCAGTCACTGAAAAGAGCAGAACTTCACTAAGATCCATCATTCTCATGTCCTATATTTATACAGAGAATACTTGCAGAACTAAATGTGCACTTAGATGGAGAGTGACTGGCTTTTTATTATTCAAGGGCTGACAACAAAAATTGCAGAACATGGATTTTATAGAAGATCTCTTTATACTTAGGGCACCATTATATTAGGCTCCCTTCCCAGTTAGGCTAGAACTACATGAAACTGGCATTTTTTTTCATGTTTCTAGTTTTCAACTGTAGCTTTTTGCCATCATCATGAGTTATTCGCACACTTCAAGAAATCATCTATCCCAAGTGCCCTTGCTGCTCAGGCAATCAACATGCTAACAATGATTGGTTCTGGCTCCTTCACAAATTGGTATAAATCTGTGAGACACTAATGGCATTTTACAATTCCATTTGGCAACAGGCAACAGAATCTAAAAGTCAAAGGAAAAATCCAAGTCTGACCTTCTAGAACACGGGTCCCCAACCCCAAGATACAGACTGGTACCAGTCCATGGTCTTGGAAGGACTGGGCTGCTAAGACAGATCAAAGGCTGAAGAAACACGTACGAATGCACACTCCCACCCACCCGCACACACATTCCCACATGCATATATGCACACACACCCCGCCCGTCCATCCACCCACTGCATACACAGACACACACCCTGCATGCACCCCCCTGCATGCACACACAGACGGATGCCAGCCGCCACCACACACCCCCTCCCGGTCCTTGGGAGAATGGTCTTCAACTAAACCAGTCTCTGGTGTTAAAAAGGTTGGGACCTACTGTTCTAGAAGAGTTCTACCAGTTAACTAACATGACTGTTAGCATTTTAAGAAAAACCAGATTACAGATGCCAAATTCTGTTTAATTCTCATTGCTATTTTTAGGTAGACACAGTATCATAAAACCAAGAGAGTACTCCTGCCTAACTGGAAGGATGAATCATTTTTCCTCTTGGTCTGCAAGTCAACACCCACCTGATGTTGCTCTGTTGTGGAGAAAGAGTGGGTAGGAATTTAGAAACTGGAGCTGGTCTGTTAGCCTAACCCTGAATTATGAAGAGATGCTTGCTTCCCATTAAGTTTATACCCACAAAAGCAAACTTGTTGGGACAAGCAGAGATAGATGTCTTGTTATAGCTTACTGTCTCCAACTTCGTTTGGCATTTAGTATTTGGACAGCAAGTTGCACACCGCACAGAGTACAGTGCAGATTAACTACACTTACAGTGGGGTCTCTACTTAAGAACGTCTCTACTTAAGAACAATCCAACTTAAGAACAGCTCCATTTGCTAAATTTTGCTTCTACTTGAGAACAGAAATCCAAGATAAGAACAGGAAAAAAAACTGCTCTTTTTTTAACCTTAGGTCATCTTAGGTTAAAAAAAAATTCTCCCCCTAGTGGTAGAGTACGTATTAACCAGCTTTGCATTAGTTCCTATGGGAACTAATGCTTCAATGTACGAACGCACCTCTACATAACAAAAAAACAGCCAGAACGGATTAATTGGTTTTCAATCCATTCCTATGGGAAATTTTGCTTCAACTTAAGAACGTTTCAACTTAAGAACACTATTCCAAAACGGATTAAGTTCTTAAGTAGAGGTTCCACTGTACTTTCTATGGACGGAAAAGAGCAGATACGAATTAAATGGTTTTCAATGCATTCCTATGGGAAATGCAGATTCAACATAAGAACTTTTCAACTTGAGAACCACCTTCCAATACGGATTAAGTTCTTAAGTAGAGACCCCACTGTAGTTACAAAAATACACCACTGACATCTGGCACAGCAAAGTGATTCCAGCTAAAAAGTTGGGTGAACCCCCTGGCTCTTACTAAGATGCTCTAAGTGCAATGACTCACATATGTTTACTAAGGTACATCATCACGACTGCTCCTCTCCAAAAACTCTTGTTAAATTTTAGGATTAACACACTAAAACAACAATGTTTAGACCTGTGGCCTGAATACTGTAATTTGTCTGGAATCCAGAAACACTTGCATGAAAATAAACATGTTAGCCTTAAAACTATTCTAAGACTTTTTCTCTTTGCTTGTTTGCTTTCTCTTAATCATACAAAAATGGATTAACGTGGCTACTAGAGGTGTGCACAATAAAAAGCTTTATTTTGTTTCATTTTGGGTTCTTTTCGGAGGGGTGTCTCTTTCATTTTCATGTTTTCCGTGCACCATTCTTCTAGTTAACCATGAAAGTAACTGCCTCTTTCTGGTCATTTTGGTTCATTTTTCTCCCATTTTTTCAAAAAGCCCTAAAGAATCAATAAAAAACTACCAAAGTAAAGCAGAGACAAGTCAACAGAGAACCAATCTACTCCAAAAGCAACCAATCACCACCACCAAAAAGTCCTCCAAAAATCCCTGAAGTATACAACTCTGATAATCACAGTAAATTAAACATATAACAATTTGAAAAAGAACAACAATACGCATACGCACTCCACATACGCACTCCACATATAGAAAAAACAGCAACATATCCATACAACCCCTTCCCAAAAGCCAAGAACAGAAGCAAGCAAATAAAGCCCAAAATATAATCAAAGCCTCTCGCCCAATCAAAACAACTAGAATATGGGGAGATTTCTGTCCTCTATCATTTGATGCCTTTCTTCTCTTCTTTTAGTCCAGTGCAGTAGCAGGCAGATAGCAAAAATAATTCAAGAAAGTAAAGGACACAAGAGCAATTTTTAAAAAATCATAGGGGGAAATTGAAAAAATAAACCCAAGGAGACACACTGACACAGCAGGTTATCTGATGACAGCAGCAAAAAATAATTCAGAGAAATAGGGAAAAAGGAAAGGAAAAAAGGAGCACATCTAAGATATCAAAGGTGCACACAGGCGAGTAGCACAAGATAGAAGGGACACAAGTTTACACACTCTCAAGAAATGAGTGAAACAAAGGTGTTCAAACAAATCCAGTCCTTTTCACAGCTTCAAAATCTAAGTACCCCCCCCATCTGCCCTGATACTCTGATTAGCTGCTGACATTGTGACAGCCATCACAATGCTGTTGATTGAAACATTTCCCAGGCAATTTATTTATTAATTTGCAAGATTTTTAGCCACACCATTACCAATGGTCTCTGAGTGGCGTACAACAATATTCAAACTTTAAAAACATTAAAACCATTAAAAATAGGCAATATTATAATAATACTCTATATTAAAAGTCATTAAAACATTAATATTAATAAATCCTGCTGCTCATATTGCCAGCTAAAGAATACTATTTAATTAAAATGCTGGCTAAATAGAAAGGTCTTTGCCTGGTGCCGAACATCTAAAAGTGTTGGAGCTAGGTGGGTCTCTATAGGGAGAGCATTCCAAAGTTGGGGGGCAGCAGCCTATTTTGGCATGCCATCCCTCTCACCTCTTTCAGGGATGGCACCTTCAGAAGGGCCTCCTGACCTGATCTTAGAGGACGGGCAGGCTTGTATGGAAGAAGGTGGTCCTTAGGTAACCAGGTCCTAAGCCATTTGGGGTGTTATATGTCAAAGAAAGCACTCTGAATTGGGCTCGAGCAGCAAGTGTAAATTTTTCAGAACCAGCCTGATATGAGTCCGTGTGGCGGCACCATTTACCAGCCGCACTACCCAGTTCTGTGCGAGTTGCACTCGCTGGACCATCTTCAAAGCCTGCCCCACGTATAGCACATTGCAGTAGTCCAGTCTGGTTATTACCAGTGCATGTTTGACTGTTGTCAGGCTCCGCTCATCCAGGTAAGGGCGAAGTTGACATATTCTCTGCAGCTGTAAGAAGGCACCCCTGGACACCGAGTCCACCTGGGCTTCCAAGGTCAGACCTGGGTCAAGGAGCACCCCCAAGCTAAGGACCCTGTCCTTTAGGGGGACTGCAACCCCATCTAGGGCATGGAAATGGCCCTTTAACCTATCTGGTGGAGCACCTACCAGCAGCACTTCCGACTTGTCTGGACTGAGCCTCAGTTTATTGACCCTCATCCAGTCCATTATCGAGTCCAGGCACGAGTTCAGCATGATGACTGCCACACCTGGATTGGTAGAGAGTGAGAGGTAGAGCTGGGTGTTGTCAGCATATTGCTGACTCCTCAGCCCAAACCTCCTAGCAACCTCCCCCAGCGGTTTCATATAGATACTAAATAGAATGGGGGACAGTATAGAGCCCTGAGGAACCGCAACCGCCATGGATCAGAGCTACTGTCTCCCACACCCCCTTCTGGACTTGATCAGCCAGGTAGGAGGGGAACCACCATAAAACAGTGCCTCCCATTCCCCCCCCAGCCAATCTGTCCAGAAGGACACCATGGTCGATGGTGTCGAAAGCCACTGAGAGATCCAGGAGAATCAACAGGGATGCATTCCTCGACTTTCTCCAGCAAAGGTCGTCAAACAGGGCAACCAAGGCAGTCTCCGTCCCATAACCCAGCCTGAAACCCAATGGAAATCAATCTAGATAATCCATTTCATCCAGGAGAGCCTGGAGCTGCTCAGCCACCACACATTCCAACACTTTGCCCAGAAAATTTGACACACAAGGGGTAAAAGGATTAAACAGAAGAGGGAAACACAAACAAAAATGAAACCTTCATGTACTTTTAGTTCATTAATGTAAATCATCCATGTCTAAGAGGCTGTCTTTCAGAAATCAACAAAAGAATAAGAAAATGAAAAGAGCTCTTTCTTGTTTTTTTAAAGAAATTCATTAAAACAGAAACGATCTTATCCCTAATAGCTACTGATCTGAAAACTGGATACAAAGAACATTCTGTAGCAGAAGCCTGTCCATGGTATGCATCTGCCAGAGGAAGGAAACATTTTGAATCCAAGTCATGGTATTTATGTTTAGAAGATCATCTTCTAGTCAACTCTTTCACTTCTGACTAAATGATAATGTTATGTCATCTGTGAGGCTATAGCAAATCTCAATGAAGACGTCTTGTGGCACTTTCAAGACTACAGTAATGAGCTTACTGCAACAAACCTTCACTGGCCACATTGAACTTTGTCAGGCATTTTAGCACTACCAGCCATATGATATCAAGTTATCTACTATCTGATTTCAGACCAGAAGTATGAGAACGTATGTAAAACATAATTCTCTATAAATCAAGAAGAAACTAGGTGGAACATCTTTCTTCTTTAACCACAAATGATGATCAAGTATTCGTTTGAAACAGTAAAACAGCAAATATCTAGATGAACATAGCAGCTGGTTTTAAAAAACAAAAGTACAAACACTGAAGGCAGTAAGATTCTACTGCAGACATAAACAGGCTGACTAATTTACTAAATGAGCAGCTGTACAACATTTGTTGAAAAATTAATATGAAAATGGCCAGTCAGCAACAATATGTTGTTTACATCATTCTACGTACCTGCTTTAATTAGTTTCTCCTTGGATTTTAAAATGATTAAACACCATGTGTTCCATCAATTTGTATACCAACTTACCTTATTTTTTTGTATAAGATGAAAATCTTTCCCATAAATCAGAAGTGCATGTTCAAAATTTCTACATTCCTCTTCAGTCCAGGCTGTCATCTCTTTAAAGTGGGAGGAAAAAGGATGAGAATAATTAAGTCTACCAACAGTTGTTCTGGCCCTAGCATCTGGAAAGCAAAGAGGATGTCTTCAACCAACATTCCCTTTAATTTTCAGTCTCGCCAGGTGGGGCTCTGCCCCTTGTGTGTGAGACTCTGCCCCCCCCCATGCAGGGTTCCATCGCAACCAGAAACAAAGGGGCTGGAAAGTATTGCTGTGGGTGTGTGTAGGAGGAGCCCTGCACAGAGGGGGTGAAGGAACATACATGTTTGTGCAGCCACGCACCTTAGAGGGGACCTTGTCTCTAACTTAGAAACTCAGTTTCTTGTTTGGACTGCTGTTACTATCAGTCGCAACAGGTATATGACAGGCAAGGCAAAAACTCACATCAATTTATAAGACTATAAGAGAACTACATATGTCAGTCCATGGGAATTTCTGGAGAGCAGATTTATTCTGGACAGCTCCATTTTTACTTAATGTCCTCTAAATAATAAAACAATTAATACTTATGTTCTAACCAACTAACTAGATCTACTGTATTTATTGAGAGCAATAAGAAGCTATGACCAAAATCCAACATCACACTAAGAGAGTGAAAATCCTAGTGTCATTGGGCTGGATTGTATCATTGCACCAGTGATACTATAAACAAGCAAACTGCTTTGGATATCACCCTTGTACAAGCTCTGTAACTGAATACCTACTAGGGCAGTGATACACCTGGATACAGGCCTACCTCCATTATGTATCTTCAATTTTTTTAGTCCAAGTTCAAGGCAAATCACAATAGTTTTAATTTGTACTTCCTGAGAAGAATGCATCTGAGTTTTTTAAATGGCAGAAATTTATTCTTTAATATAAGACATATCTAGTAAACATTTTTATCAATCAAAAATCAAAATCAAAGTAACTGATTTTATTTTGTTTGCATTGTACAAACGAAGTGAAAGTAGTGTAACTTAAAAACAGATTCACAGAATCATTCCACCATCTCATCTGAAGTACTATGATCCTGCAACAGATGAATCAGATGAGACGAATGAGTGTATACTATTTACTCTTGAAAACATCACTCAACACTTGTGAACTAATGTTGCAAATGAAGCTGAATGCTCACACAACAGAACCATTGAGAAGTGAATATCTTCCATTATCTCATAATATGAAATTTATTTATTTATTTATTTATTTATTCAATTTTTACCCAGCCCCTCTAGACAACATCTACTCAGGGCGGCTTACAAAAATTAAAACACATTAAAACAATGTAGAAAAATAACTAGCATAATGCAATTATAATAATTAATATTATCCAAGATGGCAACATTAAGTCTTATGTCTTTCTGATGGCAACTGAGTAATCACCTGCTATTATTAAAAATGAGGAGATGGAGTGGATAGCTTTGTCACCTCATCTCATTTTTACACCTCTGAAACAAACTTTTTCAACATCTGGCAGCAAAATCCTATACAAGTCTACTTGAAAGTAAATCTCATTGGGGTGTGGGGGACTTATTCCCAGGTGAGTGAGTAAATGATTAGAGTTCCTTTAATACAAATTTCTTACCTTGAGATGACTTTCCATTTGAGCAGTACCTCTCAATTGCTTCCTTTATATTGTGGTTGCATTTTAAGAGTTCATAGAGTGCCTAGAAGAGATTGAAATATTTCTTTTTCAGCTATAGTCAGAGGGAATCACAAGTTAGAGACGAAATGTTTCTAGCTTTACTATACAGTAACACCTTCACTTATTTAAATAGCAATATGAAATGAAGCTATCAAGATGATGGGTCAGGAGACACAGAGCTGGACTATACTTTTCACAAATAGAAAGCATCTGCCAGTTCCTATTGGTGGAAAGATAGGGGGAGTAAGTGACTTTTGCCAATTTTGTTCTCTTTCTGCAGCCTCCAACATCACCTCCCAAACTATTCTGAAGGACCTTCCAACCCTCCAGAGCAGAGTTTTGGTAGTCAAAAAGGGAGGGGGAGGATTAGCAGAGTATTCCTACCTCCTCCCAATCCCAACATCCCCTCACCTCCTGCAAGCAGAAGTGGCCTGGCTGCCAGACAACAACAACAACAACAACAACAACAACAACAACAACAACCTCCTCCCAATCCCAACATCCCCTCACCTCCTGCAAGCAGAAGTGGCCTGGCTGCCAGATAACAACAACAACAACAACAACATAATAATAATAATAATAATAATAATAAGAATAAGAAGAATAAGAAGCAGAAGCAGAAGCATGGAGCTACGCCACTAGGCATTGTGTGTGGCATTATGGGATATTTTATGTTTAATATTATTTATCCCATCCTTGCTCTGAAACTACCTCCCAAAACTCCAAATTATGAATTTTATGACATGCTAAGAAGCAGTAAACTATACTGAAGAGGTAAAAGGCAGATCCTGAAATATTAGGGAAAAATACCAGACATCTGGCTATGGTTCCCAGTGCTCTGCTGTTTTAATTCAAAGGATTTAAAATCAAAGAAAATAAATGGGAAACAAACTAATATGCCTTTAGGAATATATATACTAAGCCTCTTCCAAAAAGTATATATTCTTTAAAAAATGGCAAGAATTTCACAGTTATATAGGTGATTTCCCCCCCCCCCGGCTTAAATTTGATTGGATCCACATTTTTCCTGGAATAACTGTGCTCAGGAGACAAGCCAGTCAAGAGGGAAATAAAATTATTTCTGCTAATTTGTTCTTCTCCTTGCAGCCTCCTGTACCTCCAAGAAATAGGCTCTGGAAGGCCAGGAGATCTCCTGAAACAGGGTGCATGGTAGCATTTTTGGATGAGTAAAATACATCCATATTCCTGACTCCTCTGGGGAGAAGCATCCTTTGGACCATAGTCCACTGTGTGACTAAAAGGGCCAATCTGGATCCAGTCTATATATTTTTATTTTTCAGAGCATGAATTATATTTTGATCAAGACATATTCCTTATAATTATTGAAGTGTTCAAGAAAAATAAACCAAATAAAAACAAAAACATTTCATTTATTTTCCTGTGCATAAACATTACCAAACAGTACGCTTATAGATTATACACAGCTAAAATTAGAAACATACTTGTTCATTATCCCTTGTGTGCATTCCTTCAGGAATTCGGCCAATCACTTTTTCATTTCCAGTTCTTAAAGAAGTTTCAAAAAGGTACTCTTTAACTTTACTGTCTGAAATCACATCAGGCTGCCAAAGTAGCTGATCATCATTTTCATACACTGTTAAGAAAAAGCATGGCTCAGATTCTTCAGCAATATAAAGAGGGAGAACAATGTGAAGGTGTTTAGTCTACTATGATGCCCCCTTCCCAAAATAAAGAAACAGTAAACCAAGGAGAAGTTAAATATAAATACAGTGGTGCCCCGCAAGACGGGCGCTCCGTCTGACTGCCAAAGTAGCTGATCATCATTTTCATACACTGTTAAGAAAAAGCATGGCTCAGATTCTTCAGCAATATAAAGAGGGAGAACAATGTGAAGGTGTTTAGTCTACTATGATGCCCCCTTCCCAAAATAAAGAAACAGTAAACCAAGGAGAAGTTAAATATAAATACAGTGGTGCCCCGCAAGACAGGCGCTCCGTCTGATGACGAAATCGCATAATGACGAACTTTTTGTGATCGCAAAATGATGTTCCCTATGGGGGAATTTCGCTTTGCGATGATCGGTCCCCTGCTTCAGGAACCGATCATCGCAAAGCGATGATTTTTTAACAGCTGATTGGCGGTTTCAAAATGGCCGCCGGGTAAACAAAATGGTCGCCCGCTGTGTTTTCACACGGATTCCTAGCTGCAGCCCGCTGTGTTTTCACACGGATTCCTAGCTTGCAGAGGCAGCGAAAGTGGCCGCGCTATGGAGGATCTTCACTGGACAGTGAGTTTGAAGCCCCTAGGAACGCACTGATCTGGTTTTAATGCCTTTCTATGGGCTTTTTAAAATCGCATCACGTTGTTTTCATTCTACACCGATTTCGCTGGAACAAATTGTTGTGATGCGAGGCACCACTGTAATCAAAGCACCTGGAAAACCATTAGTACAATAATTATTCTTCCTAACAAATCTTAGTTATAATACGTCCCAGATAACATTCTCCTAATTTTCAGCCCTGGCTCTGCCCATCAGGTGCTTGACTACTCACAAGATTTTATTTCAAGTACATTTTAGCTTAAAGGATTAAAATTTTGAAAATAAGAGACTACAGGGGATAACAGTGAAAGAGAGTGGCTTTCAAAAATTATCTTCTGTTAATAATTAACTTTATGTTATCTGAAACACTAGCTCCCAAAGTCATGGTCATCATAACTTCCATGGTGTGTGCTTATTTTTTTGATAGACTGGACAAGATGACTATGAGATTGTTTAGCTGTACAGACTTTAGCGATTATACTCACAATAGCTAATGAGACCTATCATATAAGTGTAACAAACAAGAAGTGTTCCACTTAAATTTGAAACTGCAAACATGTGTGCAATTCCAATAGGTATGAGACAATCTCTGTACTTACCACCCACTGATGGAAGGAAAGCTGTAGTGCATTTGTGTCAAAACACGGTACCTGCTTCTCCCCCTTGCAGAAAGTATCAGGGGAGAGGCAAAGACTCTTACAGGTGTTGCTCAGTAAACGGGCTGTGTCCCATCCCTGAACAGTAGCTGAAGCCAGAATGCTCTCCTCCTCCATTTCCCATAGGACATCAGCAGGGCTCTGGGCTCTGTGGCTGGTGGAGGCACTTGCCTGCATTCAGCTGGCAAGGAGAGAGGTAACCTGGCCACCACGATGTTTGGGTCAGCTAGTAAGGATACCCAAGCATTACTGACCCCTGTACTTGGAACTGCCACATGTTGAAGCAACTAAACTTCCCCCCTTAAATACTGCAATTTTTTTCCATTGGCTCAGTTCAGCACTAGATAACTACTGTATATGTTCCAAGCCAGTTAATAAGAAGATGAAAAACTGACCACACATTTCAAATATCCAGTTAATTTTCTACTCTAAAATAATGGCATGGTCAAATAGGAGATAAAACTTAGGCTTATGTTTTTTGAACCCACAAAAATATCTGGTAGTGTATATATATTGTAGTATAGCAATAAACATGAAGACATTTTTAATTTAAAAGAAAAACAGAATTTGCCTTTTTTTGGAATTCCACAGGTAATTGTCTTTTAAAATGCAATCAATACTTAAAATTAATTAATTTTATTAATTAATTTTAAGTATTCATGACAACCATCAGCAGCTATTTATATAACTGCGTATTGGTAACTCATCTGTAAAATTTAGTAGCATTGAAAATACTGAATAATTATATACAGTGGTGCCCCGCTTGACGACAACCCTGTTAGATGACAAAATCGCTTTACGATGACTTTTTTGTGATTGCTATAGCGATTGCAAAACGATGTTTCTATGGGGTTTTTTCACTTTACGTCGATTCAGTCCCTGCTTTGAGAACCGTTTTTTCACTGGATGACGATTAAAAACAGCTGATCGGCAGTTCGCAAAATGGCTCCCCGCTGTTTTCCAGACCTATATTCGCAACACAGGGATTGTAAAATGGCTGCCTTATGGAGGATCTTTGCTGGACAATCAGATATTTCCCCCATTGGAACGCATTAACCAGTTTTCAATGCATTCGAATGGGTTGTGGGGTTTTTGTTTGTTTGTTTGTTTTTTTGGCTTGACAACGATTTCGCTTAACAGCGATTTTCCTGGAATGGATTATTGTCGTCAAGCGGGGCACCACTGTACTCTGTTCTTCTCAGGGGGATCTCAGATATAGTAATTATTATTGTGTGCTGTCCTATTAATATTGACTTATAGAAATCCTTCTCATAGTTTTTCAGGTACAAAATACACAGAAATGGTTTTACACCTTCTGGTGGCACCCTGGGACTACGCCAGTAATAATGAATTACTTCCTGCTTCATAAAAACTTTACAACACTGTAAGCAGTGAAGTGGTGTGAAATATTTTCAATCACTGCCAGGTCATTTCTGGGCCAAATCCAAAGTGCTGGACCTATAGAGGCACATGTAACTTGGGTCTAGGCAATCTGAAGGACCGTGTCTCTTTAAATCAGCTTGCCAAAGGTTGGAAGATCTTTGGGAGGCCCTTATCACAGCCTTGCTGTGCTGACAGACACTTTTGCTGGGGATACGAGAGATCACCTTCTTAACGGCTGGTCCTAGGCTCCAAAACTCTCTTTCAGCAAGGAAACTCTCTACAATAGGCTTTTAGTGCTATGGTGGGCTACAGTGAGAAAAGGAAGAAAATCCTAATGCTACAAAAGTAGTGTTGCCTTTAGCCTTCAGTTAACAAACATAATAAGAACTTACCTTTTTCACTGTCACAGCTTTTGCCTAAATAAGGTGGAATTTCTGCTTGGTACTGTGAACCAATCATTATTTCCTAAAAAGATATTTTTAAAAGTTAAATTCTGCATTTATTCATATATAGGTCTCATCAAAACAATGTATTTACAAACCTAATAGCTCTTATACAAAAGGCATCTCCCTCCATGGAACAATACTCAAGATCATTTTTCTTTCTATGCGCACACACAGCAACAGGGACAGTGTTTCTCTCCAGCAGTAGTCCCTTGCATCTCATGCAATGTTGCTCTGACAAGTCATCTGACCACAAATGCTATGGCCTCCACTGTTGTGGATTGGAGCCCACATGATCTCTCAGTGTTGGTTATGCTGACTAGGGTTGATGGAGTTGTAATCCAGAAATATCTGGAAGACCACAAATTTGGTTTAGAGGATCCTTCTAAGGGCTAATACTGAAAGAGAGAAATCAAACCATCCCATGCAAGCAGAATACCATCCATGATACTGTGTATGCTGACATACTTTAAGGACAAGACATTTTTCAAGTACATTAACTTCATATTATTATATATTCAATATACAGTAAATAGCTCATGACAATTATTTTAAATAGTTTTACACTTGTTAATGTAGGTCCTTAAAAGGATTACCTTTCGTAAATCTTCAGATGAATTACCAGTATCCACCTCCACATCTTCACCATCTGATTCTTTATCACCATCACATATAGTGTTTGCTTTTCATAACAGAAAAGGAACAAATGTTAATTCAGAATTACTTAGTATAATATCACACACTGTAACATGTATCTCTAATGCACTTCTTTTTATGTTTGGAAATCAAATAAATCTTTTTAACATCTGCTCTGTTGCATAACAAGAAGCATCAGAATTTAACACTGCAATCCTATGCATTCCTATTCAGGATAAGGTTCCACCAAGTTCAGTACAACTTAATCCTTGGTAAGCATGCACAGGACTGCAAGTGTAAATGCATCATCATGATCAACAAATTACAACTTTCTGAACACCAGTTGTCAAATGGACATGTACCAGCCTCTATAAAACTATAAATCCCAAATTGTTTCCTTCATTTCCCACCCCTGTCCTACTAGATTACTCTACCCCTAGGGAAATCACCTCACTTCTGCAAAAATATGTAAATACATGATAAAATTCTGCTTCTTTAATCTTTCTCTAGTTGCACCTTTACCATTTCCTTCACATTACAATTCTGAGGGCAGGCTTGTGCCTTTTTACATGACTTTATGTGCAGTCACTTCTTTATATAAGTACACTAGAAATAATAATACATTACATCACTACATTGCAAAGTAATCCAATCTATACCAGTGGTCAGCAGAAAAGTAGAATGTCTCAATTTCTATGGTTTCTACTGCCACTTCCTATCATAATTCAAACAAATTAAGTATACACAGTAAGTAGTTATGTAAAAGTGCAATAAATCACTACTTCAATCTTATTTCAAGAACAGCACTACACAAATCTTCTAGTAAGAAGAGAAGAGAGAAGCAAACAGAGTGTTGACTTGTGATGATCAAAGTAATTTCCATATAGCAGAAAAAATCTCAATACTCTGGTCAGCAATATTTGGTGTCTGGATTATAGCTCCTTGTGAAAAAGATTTCGTAATACTTTCTAACATGACAAACTTTTCCCCTGAAAATGAAACCATATGGGCCACTTATCCACCAATTGTGTCAAATTTAATTGTGTGGAAAACTATATAGTTTGGTGGTAGTCCACTGGCTAAGCTCCAGCATGGCTACTAGAGAACAGTCAAATTATAACTGTTACAGTACTGCAGTGTTCATCACTGACAGTTCAACTTGTACTTTCTTTGAACAGTCATGAGACTTGTTCACACAAAACAGATCCGAGGAAGATTAAAATCTGTTCTAGGTAGATATTGCCACTTCTATGCTTGAAAAAACATGGCAGCAGCAAACCAAGTCAGAATGTGTTTTTCAGGTACAAAGCAATACATGACCAAGAAAACTTCAGTCACAAAACACATGAATATTTACAATATTAATTTCCCTACATCTTAAAGGCCGAGGGAAGAAGTCTGTAGTTTCATGAGAAGTAACTGATGGTGTCAAATCATCAGCAGAAGACTGTGTTTCTTCATCATCCCCTGACAACAGGTCTTTGGCTATTTCCTCCTGCAATCAGAAGAGTCAAGAATTAGTTACCATTCACCTTTGGAAAAAAAAAAGTATCTTGAAATTCACCTTATAGTGTTCCTTATGTGAAATTCTGCAGAAGTCTTCCTATTTTCATCCTGTCATATGACCAAATTTGAGTCATACTTATGACTCAAATTTAGACGTGGTGGTGCTGCGGGCTAAACCGCAGAAGCCTATGCTGCAGGGTCAGAAGACCAAGCAGTCGTAAGATCGAATCCACGCAACGAAATGAGCGCCTGTCACTTGTCCCAGCTCCCACCAACCTAGCGGTTCGAAAGTATGCAAATGCAAGTAGATAAATAGGGACCACCTCGGTGGGAAGGTAACAGCGTTCCCTGTCTAAGTTGCACTGGCCATGTGACCACGGAAGATTGTCTTCAGACAAAAATGCTGGCTCTATGGCTTGGAAACAGCGATGAGCACTGCCCCCTAGAGTCGAACATGACTGGACAAAAATTGTCAAGGGGAACTTTTACCTTTACCTTTACTATGAAAGCACAGTAGAAACAGATTACAGCATTCAGTGGTTTTAGGTTTATCTAATTATGTAATACATCTGGATCATGTATAAATGAAATCTTAGGTAAAGGTTCCCCTTGACAATTTTTGTCCAGTCGTGTTCGACTCTAGGGGGCGGTGCTCATCCCCATTTCCAAGCCACAGAGCCAGCGTTTGTCTGGAGACAATCTTCCGTGGTCACATGGCCAGTGCGACTTAGATACGGAACGCTGTTACCTTCCCACCGAGGTGGTCCCTATTTATCTACTCACATTTGCATGCTTTCGAACCGCTAGGTTGGCGGGAGCTGGGACAAGCAACGGGAGCTCACTCCGTTGCGTGGATTCGATCTTACGACTGCTGGTCTTCTAACACTGCAGCACAGGCTTCTGCGGTTTAGCCCGCAGAGCCACCACGTCCCAGAAATGAAATCTTACACGCCACCAATAGCAACTCAAACATGACATGTCCACTTAAAAGAAAATTGTATACAGTAGAAACTATACAAAGTAGCATTTGATATGGGAGGCATAGCACCCCATTTTAGCAGGATTTCACTTTATTTTTCTTTGACAATTTTTAAAAAGTTAATACAAGTGATGTTTTTGAAAAACTGTCAAAGCAAAGTAAAATATAATCCTACAAGAAGGAAAATTAATGGCACATTTCAAAGTAATATTGGTGACACAGACATTTGGGATCTGGAAATCAGAGCTACAAAGAAATTTATTCTCTAGATACTAATCAGGGTAGCATTCCACAGAACCCTTGCCTTCCACACTTTACACTGTAACAGAGGAAAGTGTTTCCAACTTACTTTATCCAAAGTCATATCTGGCAGTTCATCTGCAAGTTCACTTGGGGAGCTATCTGCACTGGAACTTGCTATAACAGGAATTGTAGGTTCATAGCCATAGAATGCTAGTAAATCTTCTAAAGGCATGCTTCCTTCCTGATTTTTTTAAAAAAGAAAACAGTTTATTGTCACTTATGGAAGATAATAGGTTTTACATATTCATTGCATTTTTAAAGGAATAAAGTAGTTTTAACAAATTAATGGAAATATTATTCACAATGAATCATATAATCATAAAGTTTGAAGGGGTTTATAAGATCATTGAATCCAACCCTCTGCTCAGTGTAGGAAAATAATGAAAGGGTATCAAGAATCAATTTAGATGAGGACTTCAAATACACAACTGAAAAAGATATATTCACAATCTAAACTTTTGCTGCTACTTTAGCTTCAACAGATAAACTGGCTGGATCAGCTGGAAAGAGGCATATGGTTCTGCTATAGCTCTTGAAGAGCTGGCTGGATACCTCAATGCTTTAGGTCTGTGGCTGTGGAACCACAAACTGGGAGTCTGATTCCTCACTATGCCTCCTGCAAGTAGAGACAGTCTATGTGGCCTTGGGAAAGCTGCACAGTCCCAGGGCATTCTCAAAAGGGAACAGTAAACCATTTTTGAGTGTTCTCCACCTGGAAAACCCAGAAAAGGGTAGCCATAGGTCAGAATTTACTTGACAGCACATGATAACGATGATGACTGTAGCTCTTGAACAGCCCCTTATACAATATAGCTATGTTGCCCTTGGGCGTACATATTGTTTTGCAGCAACGTTGATGGCTATATAGAAAAGCACTTTTGGTAAAAATACAAAAGAAACTTCAATTAGTTTCAGTATAGCTATCAAGGTTGCTGCATTCACAATTTGCTGCTGTAATCTCCAATACAAATTTAACAAAAATATGTTGATATGAAGCAACTATACTCTCAATAAACAATGAAGCAACAGCATAGAAAGCAGCACCACAGATTGACTGAAATTTAGTTATATACTAGAATCCAGGAGACAGTATGCAGCAGAAGCTAATTGCGTAAAGGCAATCATGAGAAAGGTGGAAGGTATTTTCCAGGCTGTCTATTGCATGCCAGTCCTTCTCTGATTGCACAATTGATTGTGAGATCAGGCACATAACAGCGAGATGTTTGAAGCGAAACCACTTACATGAGTGCCCTTGTGGGCGAAGCATGTAAGTTACAACAATGTAGATTTCCGCCAACTTCTTAATCAGTATTTAAGATTTCAGTGTGTGGAAGTTGTGTGGGAGTGGTTTTCTATCATTTTGCATTCTTCAACCAACAGAAAGGATTTCTGTGACTGCCTGATTCATATTAATGAAGCTCTAAAAAATCACACTCAATCCTTGTAAGATGGCAATGAATGAAAAAAAGTAGGCAGGACTTTTGTGATGTTTAAAAATGAATGGACCACACAACAGAGAACATATTACATATGCAGCATGTTGTGAGGAAGTCCCTCACCTTCTCCAAGTCTTCAATTTCAGAACTGAAATTTTTGCCCCCATCCATCATTTCTTCCTCTTCAAGAGTTCTCTCATCATCATAGTCATGTACCAACATTTCAGCTGTAGGGTCAAAGTCATGATCCTCAGAAGATAAAGAGCCAACTATAAAAGACAATGTGAATCTTTTTAGCAACACACAGTGATACTAACAATAAAAAATATTTATTAATATCAAAGTTAATGCTCTTAATAAACAACCATTAACATCTATTCTTACTATCCTAATGTTGCAAGCATGCCTATATGTGTTACAGTTCAAATCAAGAACAGTATGGGTTCATGTACCTTTATACTAAAAACAACCCTAACAGGACAATGAAGAGACTGCTTTGGAGCGCAAGTCCCATTAATATTACTGAATCAACTATAGCTTTTGTTGCAAGTACTCTAAGCTATATATAACTATACTTGCATGAGTAGATATGCCAGCATAAGCTATCATTTTAAACAGTAGCTTTTCTTGTCACAGATACCATAAATCTGAGACTCGGCACAAATCAATAGAAGAAATGCAGTGTCTATAAACAGCTACTAAACAGAAATGGTGGAATTCCACCCAGAGAGTCAAAATGTTGAGCTTTCTCGGGAATTCTCTTTTCAGACACTCTAGGACAGCAAATACATGCTGTATAGATCTATAATAAACCATCTGGATGTCAAATGCCCATCTGTTATGACAGTTTAAACTATGGGTGGGTAATACATGGTCCTACATATATTGCTGGATTCCAACCTCCATGGTATGTCACCATTAGCCATATAGGCTAAGATTGATGGGATCCACAGCCCAACATTATGATGGGACCCACAAAGTGCCCAACCCTGCTTTAAGCATACAAGCCAACAGATCTATTTTTTCTTCCTCTTTTTAAAGACCAACTGTAAATTTCCTTCCCAATATGAAGTATCTGTATCAGGATAAATTTGATCCAAATAAAGTATTTCACTAAAACCCAATCTACCTGAAACTGTTGATATAGAAGGTCACATACTTTAAATTAGTTACATTTTTAGATAATATAAATAACAATTTTAAAACACTTAAACTAAACTCCTTTATAAAAGTGCCTTCTTTGGCAACAAAAATAAATGAAAATAAGTTAATTCAACTAACAAAAAAGGTAAGCATAACTACTCATGTTCATAACATCATAGAAAAAACATGTGCCTATTATGCTAATACCATTTTAAAATATACTGGACAATATCCAACTAAAGCCGCATACTGATCTGATTAAGAAACAAATGAATTTATGTTCATTTAAGACTTGTTACAACATAAAATTCCTAATTCTATCTGAACAGTGCAATCCTGTATTTGTTTACTCAAAGTCGCACTCTTTTTTTAATGGGGCTTACTCCCAAGATAGTATCTACAGGACTACAGTTGAGCAAAGCAATCCTAACTTAATGTATGTGTGGGAGAGTGAAATTGGTAATGATCCACTCCTACATCATACTGGCTTATATAAGTTGGGAGGGGGGGTTTCAGTTTTTCCAAAGACTTACCCAGTGATCTATCCTCCTTTCACCTCCTTCCCTCTGCTAAAACTAATGGAGAAGGGATTAACTATGCTAAAGGTAAAGGTTTCCCTTGACATTTAGTGCAGTTGTGTTCGACTCTAGAGCACAGTGCTCATTCCCGTCTTGAAGCTGTAGAGCCAGCGTTTGTCCATAGACAGTTTCTGTGGTCACGTGGCCAGCGCGATTAGACACGGGACGCAGTCACCTCATGGTGGTACCTATTTATCTACTCGCATTTTTATATGCTTTCGAACTGCTAGGTTGGCATTAATTATGCTAGGCTCCAGCATATCAAAAGGGAATAAATGGACTTTGGGTTCATTAGACTGAAGGCAGCTTCACACCCACCCCTGAAATATCACCAGAATGCCCCATTTAGGGACTAAAGCTAGCAGCAGACTGTGTGTACATGTTCCCATAACAGTGAAGATCTTCTCCACCTGCCCTATCTAAACTACATAAGTGCAACAGGTCTGTAGCTTAGGAGAGCACTTCAAAATATCTTTATCTTCAAAATATCAACTGTTGTACCTTACTCAATCGGAAAACTGCAACTGTCAAATGGTATTTCAGGCTACCTTATACACATATGTAACTAAAGAAAATACATTCATAGGCTGTGTTCCACAGGAACATAACCTGATAGCACAATCCTATGCTTATCCACTCAGAATTCCTTCAAAGTGTACATAGGCTCCCAGCATAAATTTAGTTAACACTTCTGCAATAACACAACTTTTATCTAGAAGATAAAAAACAAATTATGTATGTATTTTTAATACACAGGATAGCTGATCTACATGACTTTTGATTTCCTTAAAAAACAAATGAAATCTAGAATCAAAACATGCTATGCTCCTAACCTCGCTGAAACAAATTGTTCCACTTTTTTTCTTTAAAGTTAATCAAGGTATAGGAAAACAGCAATAATCATTACAGCCAAAGATATCAGAAGTATTAAAACCAAGGCTGTATCTTACACAATATTGTGCAGCTCAACTCCAATTAAACATGTACAGAACCAGAATCCAAGGCTGTAATCCTACATGTTCACAACCCAGTGCTAGCTATGGTTAACTTGATGGCTATCCCAACACAATGATGAGATTTCCTTTTAAATAAACTTACCCAGAGCTACAAGTCTACTCAGAAGCAAACTAAATTTCTTATCTGGTATCCACCTAGCATCTAAATCCAACTACAACTTCTACAAGAGAACTCTTACTTCTATAGGGCACACAAGAACTTGGCCCAAAACCAAATGTGCAAAATGAAAAATTGATCACAAAATAGAGAGGGTGAGGTCATGGTGGGGAAAACATTGTAACACGTCAAGAGAAAATACACAAAGCATCTTTGCCTGTAACCTGGCCCTTAACCGTACCCAAAAGCTTCCCACTGCCGGAATCACAGAGGAAGGAACTGAAGAGGACAAACCTGGGCTCGAACTCCCAAAGGAAGCCTGAAACAAGCAATGGGAGAAAAAGAGAAGAAGTTAGAGAAAGGTTTGCCAAGAGACTCGGTAAAAGAAGACTTTAAAAGAGAATTCGTTAACTGAACTCCTCTCCTTCCAAGTTACTAGATTTCAGTCTTTCTATTCGGCCTCCATCTCCCCCACTTACTTTTTCCTCTCCTCCCTTCCTTCGTTTTCTGTCTGTAAGCATCCTTCTTGTCCCTCCTTCCCCCCCCCTCCACTCCATAGGCGCACCTTCAGGTTCTCCATCCCTCAGCCGGTTCCCCATTTCTTTCCGCCCTCCCTCTTCGCCCCGCTCGGCCCTCCGGGTTGCCTCTCGCCCTCCAAACCTCCAAACCGACCCGCTTCCCCAGCTTCTCCATCCCCGCCGCCCCTGCCGCGAGCGCCGGGCCCTGACATCTCAGCGCTCCTTCCTCGGCCGGGCCCGCCCGGGAGGTGACAGGGGGCTGCCGGAGAAGAGATGACGGAAGGAGCCAGGCTGCCCTTCGGAGAATCTCTCCGAGACCCCAGCCCGGCTAGACTTTCTCCATCCCAGCCATCCTCCTCGAAAGTCCGGACAAGGCGGGCTGCCCCACTTCGAGCCAAAGGGCTGTGGGTGGAGACCGGCGCCGGGCGCTCAGCAGAGACAGCGAGAGGGAGAGGGACCGAGCCAGCGAGCCGCGGCCTAGTCGCGCAGGCGGCGCTTCCCCGATGCAAGCGGCTCCAAGAACCCCTAGACGGCCCCGGAGGCTCCCTTCACGGGGCTCCGACCCCCGGAGGAGAGTTATCAGGCCGCCGAGGGAGCCGTCGAGGGCCACCGCGCCCCAGGGCCCGACCCGGAGCTCGCTGGACCCCAGCGCCCCTACCCGCTTTCCCCGCTTACCTCCGCCATATTGGGAGCGCTCGGGCTGAGCAGCAGCGATGCGCCAAGTGCCCGGATGGGGCCGCTAAGCCAATGGCAGCCCGGCCGGGACTAGAACTACAGCCGGCCAGGGGAGGAGGGGGGAGAGATAGAGAGAGCTGGGGCGCTCTCTATCTATGAGGGGAAAGGAGGCGCCGGACTTCGTCCCTCCAGAGACCTTCTGGCAGTCCTTGTCAGAAGCTTCCTGGAATCTCCTCCTAGCTCGAAGCCCTTGCGAGAGGCCCAGGGCTGAGGGCTGAGCGGGGGGGGAAGGATGGCCGGGGAAACCCCCCCTCCAGTCACAACCAGCTGACGCGAAACTGACGCCAAATTATTGAAGTTTAATCGGGACCTTTTCTTCCGTTCTGAAGGAGGCTGACACCCTGTCCCCACTGTATACAGACCTCCCCAAAGAGCTTAAAGCGGGGGGGGGGACCTGCGCCCCCCCCCCACGTTATTAAACTCCAGCTCCCAGCTCTCCAGTAGGATTAACACTAGGTGAAGCTGGAGTCCAACAGCATTTCAACTGCTGGCTCCTCAACCCTGTCTGAACGGGGTCTGAACCAGATACCTCCCAAAGAGTTGCAGAGTTTTAGCCTCCTTCCATCAAACCTAACAGTTTCTGTATCTCCTCTAGCATAATTTGTTTAATTACCTGCAGAAGGCAGTAGCGATATCATTGTTAGAATAGTCATAGGGTGGGCTGGCTACAGTACTTTAGATCTGCCTCGTTTAGTCGTGTCCGACTCTTCGTGACCCCATGGACCAGAGCACGCCAGGCCCTCCTGTCTTCCACTGCCTCCCAGAGTTGTGTCAAATTCATCTTGGTTGCTTCGCAGACACTGTCCAGCCATCTCATCCTCTGTCGTCCCCTTCTCTTGCCGTCGCACTTTCCCAACATCAGGGTCTTTTCCAAGGAGTCTTCTCTTCTCATGAGATGGCCAAAGTACTGGAGCCTCAGCTTCAGGATCGGTCCTTCCAGTGAGCACTCAGGGTTGATTTCCTTTAGAATGGAGAGGTTTGTTCTCCTTGCAGTCCAGGGGATTCTCAAGAGCCTCCTCCAGCACCACAATTCAAAGGCATCAATTCTTCGGCGGTCTGCTTTCTTTATGGTCCAGCTCTCACTTCCATAGATCTGGCTAGGGCCAAGCAAATAAGGTCCACACAAATAATGCAGTCCGGCACATCTTTTTCAAAAGTAAAAGTGCTTCCAGATGGACAGCTATTAGCAGTATCAGTTGAAAGCCATTGGAAAGATATTCCATCTTTTCCTTGTTAAAAGATTTGGGGTATGCTTCCAGATGAGGTCTTCATACCACATTTTCTTTTTCCCAAGGTATTGGGGATAGGAAGAGTGCTTCCTATATGGAGTTATGTGAAAAATCCATACAACAGTGTTACATTTGTAATTCTCTTGTAAATAGTCTTTTTTCCATGACAATGTCTGTTTGATTTTTCTTCTACCCCCAACCCCCAAAAGAACTATTAAGGAAAAAAAGACAGAGCTTCTGCCTGTTATTTCTCCCACAATCACCAGTGATTTTGAAACCAGACCAAAACAAGTTTGACAAAGTCATCAAAGGGTCCAGAGTAAATGTTACAGAATAAGAAAAATAGGATCCTTATATGAATGCTGCTGGTTAAAGAAAAGGAAGCAACTTGATGGCGCATAACAACAGGGTTATCAGGTCTTGTATTTCCTGAAATCACTGAGAATTCTAATTCCAGCACACACACAAAAATAAGGCCAACCTACTGACAGCCAGAATATGTAGTAATTGCTTTTTAATATGATTGCTGGCTTTAAAAACAATAACAACAGCATGAAACTTCCCCACCCCACCCCCAATACCTTGGGATAAAGAAAATTTTCAGTGGCAAAGTGTAATAGATTCATTCACACATTTTTTGCCCATAAGGGATATGGGAGGAGGCTGAAACATAGGGGTGCTGTTTATTGTTCTTCAAGAGACGGGATGTAAATGCCAACTCCTTATTTGTAGATGGGAATAGTTTCCATGGTGATCCAGAAACAACTAGCTTGGTGGATCTGGTCTGCTTTATGCAGTGAGTCTGGTTTAAATATTTGCTGTTCACTGTTTTTTTTATTTATGCCATGCCTTTAAAAAACTCTAATCCTAAAATGTTCAGTTAAAAGCAGACCCTACTTTTGAAAATTTTGTTGCTGTTTCCTTATTTCAAAAAGCAAAAAAAGTCACAATGGGGTGGACTCTTTGCAAGTTATGTTTGCAGGTGTACCCCACAGCAAAGACATTCAACTTCTTTCACTTAAAGGATGGGAACATTGATTCCTTATCTTTCACCCCAGGTAAATGGAAGAAATTAGCTCCATTATTTTAATCCCTAAACAGGAAACAACCTCTACTTGCTTAGGACTAAAATCTATTAAACACAGTGGTATTTTCTTCTCACAAATATGGATCAACTGAGCTAAATTAGTTAAGATTATGCTATTGTAGATAGAACTATGCTATATGTCTACTTTTTATAACACAACCTGAGTTAGCCATGATAGGAACCACCATCTTGAGAAGCCAAATGCTTTTGCAGACTAATTACTTGTTGGTTCACAATTGATGAGGACTGTTGCCTTAATTTGTTTCTTGAAGGTTTCATAGAAGCATCTGGCTGCTGGTCACTAATAAAAACAGGATCCTTTTTTTTTTCTTTACTGGAAATAATATCTGCATAGAAATATACAGTACACTGAAAAAAGAACTGAGTATCCTTCTAATTTATAGATAGTCATGTTAGGCAGGTTAGAAATCTCAAGGAACAAGCTTACAGGTGTTTTGTTTTGTTTTGAAAGATAATTGCTTTGTACCAAATTTAATTTTACAACTGTTACAAGCATTGCAATGCAAGTCAGTCATTTTCTGCTTTTCACCTTTGGCAACATATTATTGTAATCCCGATCACATACAGCATTGCCCTGATATTCATCTTGAGGAGAAATTAAATTATTTAGCAGTAAACTTCTCCATAGATCAAATACTGTATATACATGTACTGGATATGTATTTTGTTCTTTTTATTAATCTCTTTTTAAGTCAACTGGCATCAAAATATGGCTTTAAGATAGCGCATACAAATTATAAACAAATGTGTGCTATAACATGGTGTAGGGAACTTCCTCTATCTGGTTAGCTGTTGTCTAGAAATTAAATAGCAGCCTTGATGGACCTTGATCTGATGCTGCAGGGCAATCCTTATGTCAACATTGCACCCTGAACATTGTGCTTGGTCTGGTTGATGTCCTCAGATACTGTGTTGTGATACACAATGTATAAGAATGGACTGATGACCTACTGGTCTGGTGCATGTAATGAGCTTATTTATTCTGAACTGAAAACTGAGCTTGAAAAAGTTACATTTTGATAAAGTCCTGGAGCCAGCATGTTCACTGGCCTTTCTTGCTTAGGATACTCTGGGAGTTATACTCCTAGAAAGCAAACTTTCCAGGTTCTGATTAAAACAAATAAAGTAATAAAACTAGCTGACTATATTGATTGCTAGCATTGATAAATTTGAATGAAGCTATTTGATTCTCACTTCTGACATGTCATGAACTTATTTATTATTTTTTTGTTTTTTTTTTTTTAAATTACCCCACCTTTCTCTCTAAAAAGGACTCAAGGTGACTTACAACATTAAGAGACAATAGTATTTAAAGCTGAAAACAATGAGTATACAACAGTGGTTTGCATCATTAAAATACAATAATGACTATAAAGAGGCAGCTTACATCATTAAAAGGCTATATTAAAGCTAAGAATAATAAGTATAGAAATATTAAAAAGGGGGGAAATGCCATTCTGAAAAATGGAAAACACAAATATGGAAAACACAAGTAGTGCTAAGAACCCAATCAAAGCAGTAAGGCATAACTATCCATTCAAAAATCACATGCAGGTAGCTAGTTACTTAGGGAAGTCTTGCCTGAAGAGAAAGGTATTTGCCTGCTCGCAGAAAGACAGCAAAGATGAGGCCAATCTGGTGTGAGCCAGGAGGCGAATCGGGGTCACTGCTCACTGGAGCACCGTCCATTCCCACCAAGGAGACAGAGAAAGGAGGGGAATATGGACTCCTGATGACTCCAGATTAGACATAGGGATGAATAAAAGAACGGATTGCGATATTTGTCAGAAATCACTGATTTGTTAAATATTTGTCCCTTCATATTTGTGGGTTCCAGAGACCCTGATGAATATGAAGGGATGAATATTTCCCCATTCTTATTTGTCCCCCATAGGAAGAGAGAGAAGGCCAGCCTTCCCTCTCTTCCTACAACTTTCCCATTCTGCCTACCTTAGCCACTGCCCCCCACCTCCGCCGACACCCCCATCATAATCGACGCTGACGCCTCTCTACCTGGCCTCTGCAGCCATGGCCTGTAGAAAGTGACACTGGCTGCCTTTTGCAAAGATGACGGCTGCGGCTTCGTTTAGGGTAGGGAAGCTGCAGCTTCCATCTTTGCAAAGGGCAGCCTGGATTCCCTTAGCCCCCATGGTCCCCATCTCTACTCCAGATAAAGCCCCAGAGGAGTCCCTCCAGGGGGCAGAAGAGGAGGAATTATCCCAGGACTTGAGGGGATGGGAGTCAAGAAAGAACAGTTAAAATAGGCGGGAAAGGGAAGTAGCAAAAGAAAGAGAAGATAGAAGCGGGGGAAGGAGGAGTGATAGAGAAAGGAGGGACATTACCTCCAGATTGTGAATAGATCTGGTTGCAAGATCCTTGGGCCCCGAAGTGGGAGAGACGGAAGGTGCCCAGGGAAGAGGCAGACCACAGGAGAAGGGCGGTGATTCCTCCCAGACCATCTTACTGGGGAGAAACAGAAGCTAGGGAGTGGGGGAAGAAATTAAGAGAAGAAAGAGAAATAGTAGAAGAAGAGAGAAGGGAGAGGAGGGAATGGCAAGTGTGAGTGATGAAGACGGTAGACTGGAGAAGGCCTGGGATGTGCTGGAACCCGGGAGGTGTCCCAAGTGGGAGGATTTCCTTGGAGATGTGTCCATGCCCCTGCTGCCTGTACAGACAGGAACGATGATGAAGGAATGGTCGCAAGCAGAGCCACCAGGACCATGGAATTCTAGTTTTGGTAACCCCTTCATTTTAGTAGATTGGAAGCCCTTTCCCGCCACGTTGGAGGAAGGAGAAAGAGACTATGTGCCAGTTCAAGACAATGGTTTATTTGTTAGTCCAAA